GGGACTACAGATGCGTGCCACCATGCCTGGCTAATTTGTGTATTTTTAGTAGAGATGGGGTTTCACCATGTTGGCCAGGCTGGTCTCAAGCTCCTGACCTCAGGCGACCTACCCACCTCGGTCTGGGATCGCAGGCGTGAGCCATTGTGCCCAGCCTCTTTTGACAATGTCTTTCTATATTGCCCAGGCAGGACTCAAACTCCTGAATGATTGATTTTCAGAAGTGAAGGGGCAGATCCTGATTGTTTGGTTTGCAAAAGGGGGTTCACTGAGGTGAGCTGTCATAAACTGATCAAACAGATTTCTTTTTTCTGCTTATTTTCTTTATTTTTTTTTTTGAGACAGGGTCTGGCTCTGTCATTTAGCCTGAATGCAGTGGTGCAATCACGGCTCACTTCAGCCTTGACTTCCTGGGTTCAGGTGATCCTCCCACCTGAACCAAGTAGCTGGGACTACAGGCACATACCTTCACGCTCAGCTAATTTTTGAACTTTTCATAGAGATGGGGTTTCACCACAATCCCCAAGCTGGTCTTGAATTCCTGAGCTCCAATGATCCTCCCTACTTGGCCTCCCAAAGTGCTGGGATTACCAGTGTGAGCCACTGCGCCCAGCTGAACAGATTTCAAATGAGTTCTAGTAATATATTAGTTTTCTACTACTATATTACCATGAATATTACCACAAACTCTGTGGCTTAAAACAACACACCTGTATTATCTTACAGTCTTGGTGGGTTAGGAACCTAAGTACAGTTTCTCTGGGCCATCTACTTAGCATCTCACAGGCTGCAGTAAAGGTGTGGGCCAAGGATGGGTTTCATCTGAAGGCTCTACTGGGGAAGAATCTGCTTCCTATGTGCCTGGTTGTTAGCAGAATTCAGTTCCTTTTGATTGCTGGACAGAAGAGCTTTTTTTTTTTTTCACTGGCTGTCACCTGGAGGCCCAGAGGTAGGTGACTAGATGGTACTTGCAGTTCCTTATCATGTGGAGCTCTCCAACATGGCCACTCGCTTACTCACAGCCGGCAAGAGAGAGAGGCTCCAGCAAGATGAGGGGAATGGTGATGTAACATGTAATCTTATGTAACAACATCATGTGTTTCTTATCACCTATACATACACAATCGATTAGAAGCAAATCAAACATCATGACCACACACAAGAGGATCACACAAGAGTGAGAACACCAGGAGGTGGGGTCAAAAGTTATTACCCTCAGGGGCCATTCTGTCCACCACAGGTAGCTACTACTTGTTACCATGGCTATAGAACAGTCCATCTTTTCCTAAGTTTGTGGATGTGGAGCAACTGGAGTGGTATACACGGCTATTGGAAATGTAAAATGTTAAACCACTTTGGAAAACGGTTTGGCAGTTTCTTGAAAACGTAAACACCATATGATCCAGTCATTCCACTACTAGATATTTACCCCAGAGAAATGAAAACAACCCACATAAAGACTTGTGTACAAATGTTCATAGCAGAATATTCATAATATTAGAAAAGAAGAGGCCAGGTGGAAAAGAAGAGGCTCACGCCTGTAATCCCAATAGTTTGGGAGGGCAAGGCAGGAAAATCACTTGAGCCCAGGCAACATAGGGAGACCCTGTCTTTACAGAAAAAATTGTAAAAATTAGCCAGTCATGGTGGCATGAGCCTGTAGTTTCAGCTCTTCTGGAGGCTGAGGTGGGAGCATTGCTTGAGCCTGGGAGCCTGAGCTGTGGTCATGCCATGCACTCCAGCCTGGATGACAGAGGAGTGACCCTGTCTCAAAAACAGCAATGACAAAAACCAAAACCAAAAAACAACAAAACAAAAACCCCAAAATGGAAACAACCCAAGTGTCCATCAACAAGAGAGTAAATAAACACAGTGAGAACTAACCATGCAGTGGAATATTTCTCAGCAATAAAAATGAACAGGTTAGTTATATGCACAACAACATAGATGACTGTCAAATCATCATGCTGCAAGAATGAAGCCAGACAAGAAAAGGCCCCCCTCCCTACCAAAAATCCTGTATGATGCTATTTATTTGCCATTCTAGAAATGCAAATTAATCTATAGTTCCCAAAAGCAGGGCAGTTGTTGCCTGGGGTGAGACAGAGAAGGAGAGATGGACTTTAAAGGGCACTTGGAAACTTCTGAGGGTGACAAAATGTTTTGCTTTTTTTTTTTTTTTTTTTAATTGAGACAAGGGGCCAGGCTTGGTGGCTCATGCCTGTATCCCAGCACTTTGGGAGGCCGAGGGGGGCGAATCACGAGGTCAGGATTTCAAGACCAGCCTGGCCAACATGGTGAAACCCCGTCCTTATTAAAAATACAAAAATTAGCCAGGCGCGATGGTGCATGCCTGTAGTCCCAGCTACTTGGGAGGCTGAGGCAAAAGAATCGCTTGAACCCAGAAGGCGGAGGTTCAGGTGAGCCGAGATCATACCAGTGTACTCCAGCCTGGGTGACAGAGCAAGACTCAGTCTCAAAATAAAATAAATTAAATAAAATAAAAATAAATAAAATAAAATAAAAATAAATAAATAAATAATAAAATGAGACAAGTTATCGCTATGTTGCCCAGGCTGCTGATATTGAACTCCTGGCCTCAAGCAATCCTTCTGCCTCGGCTTCCCAAAGTGCTGGGAATACAGGCATGAGCTACTGCACTCACCCTGTTCTGTATCTTAATGGTGGTAGTGGTTCACAGGTGTATACGTCTGTCACATTCATCAAATCGGACACTTTAAAGAATGCAGTTATTGTACAGGCTGGGCGTGGCGGCTCACGCCTATAATCCCAGCACTTTGGGAGGCCAAGGCAGGTGGATCACCTGAGGTCAGGAGTTCAAGACTAGCCTGGCCAACATGGTGAAATCTGTCTCTACTAAAAATACAAAAATTAGCCGGGCGTGGTAGTGGGCACCTGTAATCCCAGCTACTCGGGAGGCTGAGGCAGGAGAATCGCTTGAATCAGGGAGGCAGAGGTTGCACTGAGCTGAGGTCGTGCCACTGCACTCCAGCCTGGGTGACAGAGCAACGCTCCATCTCAAAAAATAATGTAGTTATTGTACATAAATTATAACATAAATTCATGCACATAAACTCAATAAAGTTTATTAAGGACAAAAAGTAAATAGTAAATGAGATTCAACATACACATATGAATCCAGACACTTGGAAGTGGAAGTAATGCTGATATTGAATACAGGTAATTTTGAACAAATTTTTCAATGTAATAACATTCTCACATCTTTTATTAATTAACTAAAAAAGAAATGGAGCTACTTGAAGTATTTTTTTTTTTTGAGACAGTGTTTTACTCTGTTGCCCAGGTTGGAATACAGTGGCACGATCTTGGCTCACTGCAACCTCCGCCTCTCAGGTTCAAGAAATTCTCCTGCATCAGCCTACCACGTAGCTGGGACTATAGGTGCCCACCACCACGCTCGGCTAATTTTTGTATTTTTAGTAGAGACAGGAATCCACCATGTTGGGCAGGCTGGTCTCGAACTCCTGACCTCAGGTGATCCTCCCGCCTTGGCCTCCCAAAGTACTGGGATTACAGGCCTGAGCCACGGTGCCCGGCCTACTTGAAATATTTTACATATTAATTCACTTACAAGGTAGTTACCATCAGTTTGGTATTAATAGAATAAAGAGGTTATTTATCAATAAAAATTACTAGTGACACTGAGCATTTTTCACATTTAGCAGCCAGTTGATTTTTTTTTTTTTTAATTGCCTATTTGTGACTTTTGCCAATTTTTCTATTAGATTGGTCTTCTTTCTTCATTTGTTTACAGGCCTATCTGCCTGATCAGCCTGGGAGCTCCACAGAGACAAGAACTGTATTTCATTTATTTCTCTATCCCCAGCCTAGTACAGTGTCTGGTATTTAGTTCATGAAATGTTTTGTTAAAATTGAACGAAATGAGGCCAAGTGCAGTGGCTCATGCCTGTAATCCCACCATTTTGGGAGGCCAAGGCCGGTGGATCATTTGACGTCAGGAATTTGAGACCAGCCTGTCCAACATGGTGAAACCCTATCTCTACTAAAAATACAAAAATTAACCGGGCCTGGTGGCAAGTGCCTGTAATCCCAGCTACTCGGGAGGCTGAGACAGGAGAATCACTTGAACTCAGGAGGCGATGTTGTAGTGAGCTGAGATTGAGCCACTGCACTCCAGCCTGGGCAACAAAGCGAGACTCTGTTTAAAAAAAAAATAGTAAAAAAATAAAAAATAAAACGAGACAAGTTATTGCTATGTTGCCCAGGCTGCTGATACTGAACTCCTGGCCTGAAGTGACCCTTCTGCCTCGGCCTCCCAAAGTGCTGGGACTACAGGCGTGTCACCATGTTGGATAGGTTGGCCTCGAACTCCTGACCTCAAGTGATCCACCTTGGCCTTTTAAAGTATTGGGATTACAGGCATGAGCCACCATGCCTGGCCCCTTTTTGCAATTAATCAAAAAAAGGCCTAGGTTAAAAAAAAATTATATATATATATATATATATATATATATATATATGAATGGAATGATATTCTTATAACCCCTTGGAAACATTACTTCTGTTTAACAGATGAGGAATGTAAGACACAGAGGCTGAGTAATTTGCAGCCACACACTGCCAAATGGTAGCACTGGGACTGTAATCTGGGCCTTCTGATTCTTTTTATTTATTTGTATTAATTTAATTTTTTTTTAATAGATGGGGTCTCGCTATGTTGCCCAGGGTGGTGTGGAACTCTAAGGCTCAGGTGATCCTCCTGTCTGGGCCTCTCAAAGTGTTGGGATTACAGGCGTGAGCCACCATGCCCTGCCGCAGGCTTTCCGATTCTAAACCATAGATTCAATGAAATTGTCCTCTATTCCCTCCAGAGATGTTTGCCTGGACCCTGTTTTCCTCAGGATATCAATGAATAGTTCATGAGTTTTGTGAGTGAAGGTCAACTTCCATCAGGCGCATGCGTCCCTTCCTTTTCCCATGGAGGAAGACACCTCTTTTCCTTCCGCTTTGCCTGTTTTTTGGCCCCCGCGACTCACCATCGCCAGTGCGGAGGCGTTCGCTAGTTGAAATGATGGCGACTGGAACGCCAGATTCTCAAGCGCGATTCGGTCAGTCCGTGAAGGGGCTTCTCACGGAGAAGGTGACCACCTGTGGTACTGACGTCATCGCGCTCACCAAGCAGGTGCTGAAGGGCTCCCGGAGCTCCGAGGTGAGCTGGGAGTGGACTGTCCCGGCCTGATAGTCCGGGGAGTCGCACCCTTTCGTTGCTGTGGGAAGGAGGTCGCGTTGCAGCCTGGGAATTGTATGCTGTGAAGTACTCGCTATGAGTAGGTCGTCTTCGCGAAGGCGCGCGTTGAATTCTGGGGTGTGTAGTCTCTTTGGTTAGGGATAGTGCGTGAGGGTGGGAGGAAGAAACGATGCCCTGGGAATCTGTCCTTTATTATTTATTTATTTATTTATTTATTTATTTATTTATGTTGTTGTTGTTGTTGTTACGAAGTCTCGTATTCTGGGGTGTGTAGTCTCTTTGGTTAGGGATAGTGCGTGAGGGTGGGAGGAAGAAACGATGCCCTGGGAACCTGTGCTTTACTTATTATTTATTTATTTATTTATTTATTTATGTTGTTGTTGTTGTTGTTGTTGTTACGAAGTCTCGCTCTGTCTCCCAGGCTGGAGTGCAGTGGCGCGATCTCGGTTCACGCCATTCTGCCTCAGCCTCCCGAGTAGCTGGGACTACAGGCGCCCGCCACCTTGCCCGGCTAATTTTTTGTATTTTTAGTGGAGACGGGGTTTCATCGTATTAGCCAGGATGGTCTCGATCTCCTGACCTCGTGATCCGCCCGCCTCGGCCTCCCAAAGAGCTGGGATTACAGGCGTGAGCCACCGCGCCCGGCCGGGAACCTGTGCTTTAAAACAGAGCTGTTTGGGACGCCGAGGCGGGCGGATCACCTGGGGTAGTGAGTTCGAGACTAGCCTGACAATCATGGAGAAACCCCCGTCTCTAGTTAAAAAAAAAAAATTAGCCAAGCGTGGTGGCGCAAGCCTGTAATCCCAGTTACTGGGGAGGTTGAGGCAGGAGAATTGCTTGAACCTGGGAGGCGGAGGTTCCGGTGAGCCGAGGTCGCGCCATTGCACTCCAGCCTGGGCAACAAGAGCGAAACTCCGTCTAAAACAAACAAACAAACAACAACAACAACAACAAAAGCCAGAGAGAGGCAGGGCGCCGTGGCTCACGCCTGTAATCCCAGCACTTTGAGAGGCCGAGGCGGGTGGATCACGAGGTCAGGAGATGGAGACCATCCTGGCTAACACGGTGAAACCCCTCTCTACTAAAAATACAAAAAAACAAAAAAAAGCCAGGCGTGGTGGCGGGCGCCTATAATCGCAGCTACTCAGGAGGCTGAGGCAGGAGAATAGATTGAACCAGGGAGGGGGAGGTTGCAGTGAGCCAAGATTGTGCCACTGCACTCCAGCTTGGGTGACAGAGAACAAGACCCTGTCTCAAAAATATATACATGTATATGTATATATATTATATTTTCAACTAGAGGTGTTTATTGTTAACCACCTATAAATATTGAACATATTCATCATAAACATACATTTATTTAGCATTTTATATGTGCTGGACACTTGTCTTTTATGGAGTTTAATTCATGAAGTCTTTAGAATGACTAATTGAAGGCAATACTTTTCCTTTTCTTTTTTTGAGACGGAGTCTAGCTCTGTTGCCAGGCTGGAGTGTAGTGGCGTCATTTTGGCTCACTGCAACCTCTGCCTCCTGGGTTCAAGCGATTCTCCTGCCTCAGCCTCCCGAGTAGCTGGGATTACAGGCACACACCACCACGCCCAGCTAATTTTTGTATTCTTAGTAGAGATGGGGTTTCACCATGTTGGCCAGGCTGGTCTAGAACTCTTGACCTCGTGATCCGCCTGCATCAGCCTTCCAAAGTGCTGGAATTACAGGCAGGAGCCACCACGCCCGGCAGCATTGCTTCTTAAACAGTCTCCACATAGCTATTTTGTTTGATTAACTGAGAATTTCATGTGTAAAACACTCATTCCACAGTATTCATTTAACAAATACTTATTGGGTGTCTGCTATGTGCCAGGAACTGCTCTAGGTACAAGGGATTAGGAAGTTTACATTTTAGTGAAGAGACAGACAATAAACAAATGAAACCGAAAAAAATCAGGTGGTGGTAAATCCTGTGAAGCAAAATTAATCTGGGAATAGAGTGTGATGAAAGGGTTAATTTTTGTTTGTTTGTTTTGAGACAAAGGAGGAGTCTTGCTAGCTCTGTCACCCAGGCTAAAGTGCAATGGTGCGATCTCTGCTCACTGCAACCTCCACCTCCTGGGTACAAGTGATTCTCCTGCCTCAGCCTTCTGAGTAGCTGTGATTATAGGCCCCTGCCACCATGCCCTGCTAATTTTTGTGTTTTTAGTAGAGATGGGGTTTCACCATGTTGGCCAGGCTGGTCTCACACTCCTGACCTCAAGTGATCCTTCCCGCCCTGGCCCCCCAACGTGCTGAGATTACAGACATGAGCCACCACACCCGGCGGAAAGGGTTAGTCTTAAACAGATGATCAGGGAAGGGCTCTCTGGGGAGAGAGCCTGTGAGGAGAAACACACGGACATTTGCCCACAGCACAATGAGTGGTTATGACTCATAGGCTTGTCTCTTGGCATGCCTGTGTTTCTGCTCCTCCATTTGAGTTGTGTGCTTAGTGAGGGTCCACTGTGTTTTTTTCTAAATATAATGTGTGTGTGGGCTTGGCACAGTGACTCATGCCTGTAATCCTAACACTTTGGGAGGCCAAGGCAGGATTGCTTAAGCCCAGGAGTTCGAGACCAGCCTGGGCCACATGGTGATATCCGGTCTCTGTAAAAAAAGAAAAAAAAAAAGAATGAAAAAAATTTTTTAAATGTGTGTATGGCACTTACGCTTACAGTTGCAACTATGTAATTTAGTGAAATAATACGAAGAATGATGAAATATGAGTACCAAAAAACAGGGTTGCTATTGGTATGAAAACTAAGTTGAAAATCAGAAACACTTGTTGAAGATGAGTAGCTAAGACAAATTGTTATTGAGTTAATTATGAACAAGTTAATGGTAAAAGCCTGGGAGAAAAATTTGTAGCAATCTAAAAAGATTCTGTAGTGAAGATTGTTCAGGTGTATTCAAGATGTTCTTCCATTTTAAAGAAAGCAAAACTAGAAATCTCAGATATGGCATGTTATGTGTCTGGTCGGTTTATGTAGGAAAGTGAAGCAGAATGCCAATGAATATATCAAGGAAAGGCCTTGGCTTTACTTTACAACAGCCCCTGCCTTCAAGGCAACCACAATTCCCATCCAGTCTGTTTTCTAAATGTCTCACAAATCCTTTGTTTCTTTTTTTCTCAGCTACTTCTGTGTTTCAGGCCATCCTCATTGCTTGCTTAGAGTACTGCTATGTCATCCTAACCAATCTCTGTGCCTCATTCCCCACTCTACTCCACCTGCTTACCACATTTCTAAAACAGAAAAATGGATCATGCCATTTTTCTCTAGAATTACACACACAAGATTAATTCTAAACCCTAACTTTTAAGTCTCAGATTAGAAGTCACTTTTAAGAACCTTTCCTGAATACCTACCCCTGTAATCGGTTATACCTCCTGCCCCACTACATGCTCCCAGAGCAGCCAATGCTTCCCCATCAGCACTTACTGTAAGGTGATTTAAGTGCCTGTGTTCCCTTTGTATCCCCTCCAGATTGTGAGCCCCGTTATCACTCTTAACCGGAGTAAGGGCATATGTTAAACACTCAACAAATGTTTGTTAAATGAATAAGTGAATGAAGTAGATTCTGTTAGAACCCTTTTTTTTTCTGCCATCGGTTTGTAAGTCACCATCTCCCATCTATAGGAGTTTGAAGTTTTCCCTTAAAAGTAGCCACAGGAGGAATGCAAAGTGGTACAGCCCTAAAGGAGAGGAATTTGGCAATATGTAGCAAAATTAAAACCCCATAATCACATGAGTCTATCCCAAATATATGCTGGCAAAAAGATGCAAATATATGAGATATTTGTAACAGTAAAAGCTATAAGATGCAAGATATGAGAATTTTTAGTACCACTACTTACTGTGGCAAAAAGACTGGGAACAGCCCCCAAATCCCTCAGCAGATAACTGATTGAATAACTTTATGGTCACCTATAGAGTGTGGTACTCTGCAGTTGTAAAAGAGCAATGGATTCAATAGGAGATAGCAATTGAATATGAGAATCAATATGTGTTGCTGCAGATAGCCCTCAGGGATCTATTGCAAAGTGAAAATATCAAGGTGTAGGCTGGGTGCAGTGGCTCATGCTTGTAATCCTAGCACTTTGGGAGGCCGAAGCAGGCAAATCACTTGAGCCCAGGTGTTTGAAACCAGCTTGGGCAACATGGCAAAAACCCATCTCTACAAAAAAATACCAAAAACTATCTGGGCATGGTGGCGTGCACTTGTAGTCCCAACTACTCTGGAGGCTAAGGTGGAAGATCACCTGAGCCCGGGAGGTCGAGGCTTCAGTGAACAGTGATGGTGCCACTGCACTCCAGCCTAGGTGACAGAGTGAGACCATATCTCAAAAAAAAAAAAAAAAAAAAAAATATATATATATATATATATATACACACACACATACACACTCTCACACACACATAGTGTGCATGGTGTAAACAAGTACACATAGTATGTTACATTTTAGTAGGAAGGTGGTATGGAGGAAAAGAAATACATGTGTCCATTGTTTAAAAAGGAACAATGGAAAGAAAACCACAAAGCTAATAAAAATAGTTATGCATGAGGCTGGGTGTAGGGGCTCATACCTGTAATCCCAGGCGGGTGGATCACCTGAGGACGGGAGTTTGAGACCAGCCTGGTCAACACAGTGAAACCTTGTCTCTACTGAAAATACAAAAATTAGCTAAGCGTGGTAGCATATACCTATAATCCCAGCTACTCAGGAGGCTGCTGCAGGAGAATCTCTTGAATACGGGATGCAGAGGTTGCAGTAAGCCAAGATCACATCACCACACTCCAGCCTGGGTGACAGAGTGAGACCCTGTCTCAAAAAAATGAAAATTAAAAAATAAAAAAATAACTATGCATGTGGGGGAGAGAACAGGGAAAGAAAGGGAGGGACCAAGACGGAAAGTCCTATTTTATTGTTTTGACTTTAGACGTCCAGAAAGGGTTACTAACTTTAAAACTTATAAATAAAGGTGCCCTGGGTAGGGGAAGAAATCTGGCAATCCTAGTTACTTTGAAATCACGCCACCCTTTCCACCAGAGTCTCCCTGACCCAAGAGAACAGGGAAGGGCTGGTAGGATACATATAGCAGTAACTCCTTTTACTTGGCTGGATTTAGGAGCAGGGTGCAGTATTAGGCCAAGAATCTCTGTTGGTCTCTACTTGCCTCTCAGTGGTAATGCAGTCAGCTCTTCCTTGACTGTAGGCCACCCAGTAGAATCCAAGCTCTGCTTTTCTCTTTTGGTCTCAGGACCCATTAAACTCAGTGACCTCATTAAATTCTGCCTGCACATTTCTCCTTTCTTTTCTTTTTCTTTTCTTTTTGTTTTTTTTTGAGACAGAGTCTCACTCTGTTGCCAGGCTGGAGTACAATGGTGCAATCTCAGCTCACTGAAACCTCTGCCTCCCAAGTTCAGGAGATTCTCCTACCTCAGCCTCCTGAGAAGCTGGGATTACAGGCACGTGCCACCATGCCTGGCTAAGTTTTGTAATTTTAGTAGAGAGGTTTTGCCATATTGGCCAGGCTAGTCTTGAACTCCTGATCTCAGGTGATCGCCTGCCTTGGCCTCCGAATGTGCTGGGATTACACGCGTGAGCCGCTGCACCTGGCCATCTCCTTTCTTTTCTTTTTCCCAGCCCTGTCTGGTCATCTTTTATGGAGTGGTTCCCTATTTTAATCCCTGAGCTTCTCCTCATGGCTTCCCCACACCTCCCACTGTTTCTCTTATTCCATTTTTTTTCTTTCCTTTTTTTTTTTTTTTTTTTTGAGACAGGGTCTTGCTTTGTCGCCCAGGCTGGCATACAGTGGTGCGATCTTGGCTCACTGCAACCTTCGCCTCCTGGGTTCAAGCAATTCTCCCACCTCAGCCTCCCGAGTAGCTGGGATTACAAGCGCACGCCACCATGCCCAGCTAACTTGTATTTTTTGGTAGAGATGGGGTTTCACCATGTTGCCCAGGCTGGTCTTAAACTCCTGACCTCAAGTGATCTGCCCACCTCGGCCTCCCGAAGTGCTGGGATTACGGGCATGAGCCACTGCACCTGGCTTTCTCTTATTTCATTTCTAAATAGCTATATTCCTCTGTTCTTTTCAGCCCATTCTAACTCTTGTGCCTTTACTACTCTCAAACCACCCCAAATCTCAAATCTGCCTTTAAAGAATCAAGAGTCATGTTCTCTCACTGAACTTGTGGTGCCAAAGTTTTTTTGCAGACTTCTCTTAGCATTTAATGAATACACTGTGCCAACAGCTCAGCAGTTAGGAAGCACTTGATTTCTCAGGGGGTGGCCTTTGAAACAGATGTCGGGTCCATGCCAGAACTGCCATAGTGCCAATGAAATGAATTTTCAACATGAACAAATAGAAAATGATCCTCCATTACATTTTGAGTGTTTGTGGTTGTATAGGGTGGAGGAGCGGGAGAGGAGAGAGGGTAGTGGTGGAACAGCTGCAGACAGAAGATTACAGGAAGTTTGGGGATTTTGATTATTACCATTTTATTTTTGTGTTCCAGCTGCTAGGTCAGGCAGCTCGAAACATGGTACTACAGGAAGATGCCATCTTGCACTCAGAAGATGTAAGAAACAACTTTTTTTTTTATTATTTGGGTTTATGTATATAGTTTGTGTGGCCACAGGAAAGTGGAATGTTCTATTTATCTCTCTCTCTTTTATGCAGAGTTTAAGGAAGATGGCAATAATAACAACACATCTTCAATACCAGTGAGTATGCCCCCTCCAGCAACTATTTGCTGCAGAATCGTTATCCCTAGTCTGCTTTCATGGCCTTTGTGCTTCAGCGCTTTCCTATGGAGGCCAGAGTGGGAGTAAGGGTGGGGGTGGCCAAGGATGACTTTTCTCAATGGCAGAGATGCCTGAGACTCAGAAGAAGTGGGGGTAAGGGATGCGAATCAGGAGCAGAGTCCACCTTTTATGAACCTCCCCATGTTAAATTGAGGCCTCTTCAGAGAGAGACTGTAAACCCTGTAAAGGCAGGGCCCATGCCAGGACCATGCTAGCACTGTACTTGGCACCTATGAGGCAGTTCATCCGTATTTGATGACTGACTGTGCCCAAGGTTTCTCCTGGGAAGTTGGGTCCTCTACTAGGGAATCAAGTTTAACACACCTATATCCTACATGGTACGTAGGTAACTATGGCACCTGCTACATATAAATCATGTAGGGAATTTTGAAATATAAGATGCCCCCCCTTTCTCCATTATAATTTGCTCTTCATCTTATTTAATGTTGTTATGTATTTTATGTACTTGATATTATACTTATGTACCTGTTAGAAATATATGGTTAGGGGCTGGGTGCGGTGGCTCACATCTGTAATCCCAGCACTTTGGGAGGCCGAGGAGGGCAGATCACCTGAGATCAGGAGTTCAAGACCAGCCTGGCCAACATGGTGAAACCCCTCACTACTAAAGATACAAAAAAGTAGCTGAATGTGGTGGTGAGCGCCTGTAATCCCAGCTACTCAGGAGGCTGAGGCATGAGAATTGCTTGAACCTGGGAGGTGGAGGTTGCAGTGAGCGGAGATCGCACCTCTGCACTCTACCCAGGGCGATAAAAGTGAAACTCTGTCTCCAGAAAAAAAAAAGAGGCTGGGCACAGTGGCTCATGCCTGTAATTCCAGCACTTTGGGAGGCTGAGGCGGGCGGATCACCTGAGGTCAGGAGTTCGAGACTAGCCTGGCTAACATGGTGGTGAAACCCCGTCTCTAATAAAAATACAAAAATTAGCTGGGCATGGTGGCACACACCTGTAATCCCAGCTACTCGGGAGGTGGAGGCAGGAGAACTGCTTGAGCCTGGGAGATGGAGGTGGCAGTGAGCTGAGATCAGGCACCACTGCACTCCATCCTGGTGACAGAGTGAGACTGTCTCAAAAAATATATATATATGGTTAGAAATTTCACTCTTTGATATTTAAATAGCGTGTCATAGTCATTCTTTGGGTATCTACATATTAGGTATGTGACCATTTGATTCCGTATACACAGACTAATTTTAAGCCATGCATGTAGTTTGTTGGACCACATTTCTCACTCTGGGAGAGTGTTACTATCTGTTTAGGTTTAGAATCCATCTTTTCAGCAGCTCTGCACTCAGATAGGAATCCCTGTTCAATAGCACAATCTTAGGATAGGATGGACAGAAATACAGAATGTGACATAAGCTGAAATTTCTTCTGCCTATATGCATATATCTGGTCATAAATGAAATTTCTACTAGTTCACTTATGTGTATTTTCCTCTTTCCTTTTCTGATTTAGGCAAGAAGCTATTCAGAAGAAGTAAGTAACCCCAAAGGTAGAGGAGTAGGGAACCAACTGAAGCAGGCTGGGGGAATTATACTGCTGGGTCCAGGATCAATACAAAACACTGGTTGACATATGCCCTCAAATTGAAATATGCTATGGGATACTCACTTGGGATTTAAAGAATACAGCATATTTCAAAGGTGTGCAGTAACTCAACTCACTGCTATTAATAGTAAAACTTTCTAAAAGTTACAGGGTATAGAGACCAACCTTAAGAAGCAGAAAATCTTTTACGTTGCTAATATTCATTAAACAGAGTAAATGTGGAAAAACCATTAAACAGCCTTGTTTTCTAAAATGGATTAAATTTGTCCCTTGCAATATTGTTTACATTACTAATTGGCTTTGCAAACCTTTCATCAGAGTTTAAACACTTCTAGGACCCAACTGGACTAATACCAATTTTGATTTACATGCAACAGTATTTATGCATTAAACTACAGATAGCTTCTACAGGACAGGTGTAGTGGCTGGCTCATGCCTGTAATTCCAGGACTTTGGAAGGCTGAGGCTGAAGGATTGCTTGAGCCCAGAGTTTGAGATTGCCCTGTGCAGCATTGTGAGACTCTGTCTGTGATGAAAAAAAAATTTGTAAATAGTTGTACAAAGATGTCTTTATTATTGCTCATTTCAGATAAACCCTGTCTCTATTCTTATTCTAGTGTGGAACAGTCATCAGATCTACAGGACCAGTTGAATCATCTGTTGAAATAGAATGACATGTAAGAGTGCTGTAGCACTCCTTTGCCTAATGCTGAGGAGTAAATACCTTATACAACCCTCCTCTGGGTTTGGTTTTCTGTTTTCTTCCCCAAAAGTTAAGTTAGAAAAGTTCTGTGTTGATGTACAGTTTCTCCTAAGAAGAAGCGAGGTGGTTGAATTTTGGAGGCACTTCTTGAATCGGACTAACCCATGCTCTTATTGAATTCTTTCAGCTGCTGTGTTTAGTTTGATATTAAAGCAAAATTAAAAGAGCTTTTAGTTTTTCCCATAGAACTTTTAATATGTCAAAAGCTATATTGTCTGAATTGCAGTACTTAAGCAAATACTGAGTAGTGTTTTAAATTAAGAAATAGAGCTTCTATTATGAACACATAACAATGATTTTTTCTCTTAATCATTATTAAGGAAATATTTTAATTTCATGGTCGTATAATGGTGAGAAGTAATACCTGATTGTTTCCTTTTCTGTTCTAGTAACTCAGAGGAGGTATGTGTTTTATTTGTGATAGCAAATTCCTAAATGAACATTAGGCAAGTGGTACCATTATCAGGCCAGCTGCAGCCTCTTGCCTTGACCTGCATTCCTAGAATTTCTTTGTTGCTGTAATTCTTGATTAAGTGACCTTGACTTTGATTTTGTAATTTTGCTAATCATCAGCAAATTCACTTGCATGACGTTACTGCCAAATATGAAGGTAGTTGAATTATTATGAGTGATTGCGGCAGAGGGTTGTGCCATGGTGAAAACTTTGATGTTTGTCTGTGTTCATTGGATCCATCTTTTAAAATGACATTACCATGAGTCTGTGGTCAAACCTGAATATCTTTGTTTAAATTTAAAATGGGACTCTATATTGTTCTAGTTCAGGTCTTCATTTACTAAGCGATTGAGAGAAATCTGACATAAGAAAATATTGTTTTCACTGCTGGAACAAAGAGGAAGTAACAGTGAATCCAATATAGTTCATATTGTTATTGTCCAGTCATCAAGTTAACTAAGCATATCAGATTATGTTTATTTCTCATACATACGGATATTAACTTAAGGTAAAAAAGCTAGATGTGAAGGATCTGAAAAGGCATTAATTTATGTACTAATTCTGTAAATATGTATTAATTGCAGTATTATTAAATACAGATGGATTCAGTTTACCTTTGAAAAGGAAGACCACTAATTTAGAAAACAAAGCTAAGTGCAGTCATTACAAGAAGCAAAGAAATACTTAAGTTGGAAAAAAATTAAAATGAAGGGATGGTCTAAGTTTTCTTCATGCTGGAACAAATATTAAAGAAGCAACAATTGCTTACATTGTATGTGATAAAATATACATTTCACAATCAAAATTTTAATAGTAAATATAAGATAAAATTTATATTAAATAATGAAAATGTATTTGTACTGAATTTAGTCACTAGAGAACATTGTAACAAAATATATGAAAGAAAAGTAGCCAGAAATGTGAGAACAGGTGGAAATGTATACTTTATTTGATTTTTTTTTTATAGAAATAAACAACATACATAGAATTAAATGGTGATCAAAAACATGGAAAAAAATACTTCGCTAAGTAACGTCTAAGTTGTAGAGGATGTGCTGGAAGATAATATTTTTAAAATAATAAATGTTCAAATGCCATGCAAGAAAATTTATGTGATAATACCAAAGCAATACTATAAGAAAATTATCATGCTTTAAATCTCTGTATTAGGGATAGGGTGGAAATATTTTTGTTTTTTTAAAGGGGTATATAGTTAGAATTTAGAAAGAAATCAAAATGGAAATAATAAAACTAAACAAATTAGAAACAATAAATTAGAAAAAATAAAAAGTATTAAGTAGTTCTTATAGATTAAATTGGTAAAGTGTCAGCTCAGCCAGAAAAGGACAAATTAGTAAATTCATAATTGAATAGGCAATATATAAAATCAATTAGATTTGAACAAAGTTATCAATTTGCTGCTAAAAATTTGATTAATACATGCCCAGCTCCTTATAAAGATAAAAAATTACAAAACTGAAACCTAATGGAGAATATTCCGGATTGGTTATGAGAACCCACAAACTAAGAATAACCAATTAAAATGGCATTTGCTTGTGAAGGCTTTCATGAGACTTTTCCGAACTGTCAAAGAACATACGCTCCTGGCTGGGCGCAGTGGCTCATGCCTGTAATCCTACCACTTTGGGAGGACAAGGCAGGCAGATCACAGAGTCAGGAGTTGGAGACCAGCCTGGCCAACATGGTGAAACCCCATCTCTACTTAAAAAATACAAAAATTAGCCAGGCACGGTGGCACGCGCCTGTAATCCCAGCTACTCGGGAGGCTGAGACAGGAAAATTGCTTGAACCCAGGAGGTGGAGGTTGCAGTGAGCCAAGATCGAGCCACTGCACTCCAGCCTGGGAGGCTGAGCAAGACTGCATCTCAAAAAAAAAAAAGAACCTACACTCCCAAAATATAGAAAATGATCATAAGACACTAATTCATTTAATGAAGTAAACAGGATTTTCATTTTAAAAATAAAATGATGTAAGAAAGATGATGCAAGAGGATGTAAGATAATATAGGTGATTTTTTTATGAGTATAGATGCAAAAATCTGAATAAAATCTTAAAAAACTGAATAGAGAAATATTTTGAATAATTGCTCATGTAACTCCAGAACTTCAAAGTTGATGTAATAGTTACAAAACACATTACGTTAATAAGTAATAAAATCTTTTATCACTATAATATATACCAAAAAGGCATTTAAAATACACTTTCTATTTCAAAAAAAACTAAACAAAAAGAATTTTTTAAAAGGGTATGTTTTAAAACCCAACATAATATTTGATGAAGAAGAGTCATATAACCCCAGAATATTAGAACTGTATGGGGCCTTAAAAGTTCTTAAATTCTGGTCCCATGTTTTACAGATGAAACAAACACAGCCAGAAAGATGAAATGACTTACCCAAGGTCACTGAGCTTGATGGCAGGTCTTTTGACTACTAGTCTAGCTCTCTGTTACCTGCTGGTTTCCTTATGCATAGAAACGGGTGCCCCCTGTCATTACTAGTCTTCAACATAATACTAAAGAGCTCTTAGAAAGGGAAAATATCTATGGCCGGGTGTGGTGGCTCATGCCTGTAATCCCAGCACTTTGGGAGGCTGAGGCGGACAGATCACGAGGTCAGGAGATCGAGACTATCCTGGCTAACACGGTGAAGCCCCATCTCTACTAAAAATACAAAAAAAAAAAAAAAAATTAGCAGGGCATAGTGGCAGGCACCTGTAGGCCTAGCTACTCGGGAGGCTGAGGCAGGAGAATGGCGTGAACCTGGGAGGTGGAGCTTGTAGTAAGCTGAGATCGTGCCACTGCACTCCAGCTTGGGTCACAGTGCGAGACTCCGTCTCAAAAAAATAGTAATAATAAAAAAGGAACGGATCTTGGAAGTAGCTGAATCCAATCCATTTGCCCCTGCTTCTGCATCTCAGGTGAGCCATCATCCAGTCATTCATCTGGCTTCTGCTTACATTATTTGGGGAATCCTTTACTTAGGGGTGCTGATCCTTTTGGAAATCTCCACTTCTTGAAAGATAGTTCTCTATAATTAACAAAAATCTGCCTTTCTGGATCATCCTGGAATTGTCACGCCAGTAGCTTCCAAGATAGAATGTGTGACGGTGTGCACAGGCCTCCATTGAAGGGTAAGGAAGAAAATTTCTATGTATGTTAATTTTTTATCTTAAAAAAATTAGCTTTTGTGAGGCTGGGTGCAGTGACTCATGCCTGTAATCCTAGCACTTTGGGAGGCCAAGGCGGGCGGATCACGAGGTCTGGAGATCCAGACTGTCCTGGGTAACACGGTGAAACCCTGTCTCTACTAAAAATGCAAAAAATTATGCGGGCGTTGTGGCGGGTGCCTGCAGTCCCAGCTACTCGGGAGGCTGAGGCAGGAGAATGGCGTGAACCCGGGAGGCGGAGCTTGCAGTGAGCCGAGATCACGCCATTGTACTCCAGCCTGGGCGACAGAGCGAGACTCCGTCTCAAAAAAAAAAAGAAAAAAAAAGCTTTTGCCAATATTTAAAATACGACTTCATGTGAGAGTCCTAATTTGTTCTACCCAGTATACAGTTATATAGCATTCCTGTCATTTAGCAGGGGTGATAGTAAAACAACTAACTCACAAAACCTGTGGTGAGGCACTGACCAATCAGAATGATTGATGGTCACAGTCTGATCCAAGATTAGCCCCCACACCAGACACCATGAAGGAAAAGTGAGAATAACTCAATTTAACTTGACAGTGGTTTGTTTCATTGCAGTTTATCTGTGTGTGAGTAGGTAGATTTAAGGATTGTTGGCCAGGCGTGGTGGCTCACGCCTGTAATCCCAGCACTTTAGGAGGCAGAAGCAGGCGGATCACCTGAGGTCAGGAGTTCAAGACCAGCCTGACCAACATGGTGAAACCCCGTGTGTACTAACAATACCAAAACATTAGCCAGGCATGGTGGTGCATGCCTGTAATCCCAGCTACTTGGGAGGCTGAGGCAGGAGAATCGCTTGAACTGGGGAGGCAGAGGTTGCAGTGAGCCGAGATTGCACCATTGCCCTGCAGCCTGGGCAACAAGAGTGAAACTCCCTCTCAAAAAAAAAAAAAAAAAAAAAAAAAAAAAGGATTGTCAAATGATTCTTGAAAGTAATCCATAAATTAAAGATAACAAAACAAGCACAAGAGAAAAATGATAGAGCCGTTTCCTTGACCTCTCACTAATCTGCCGTTTTAAGATAAAGATATCGTTTTAACTATGAGAAGGTAACTGTTTTTCTAAAGAAACTCATTTTATGAAGAGAATATTTTGAAAACTAATATTTAGGAGCATTTTCACCATTCTATGATTGCCCAAAAACTGATACTTATAAAAACACTAAGTTTTATACACATACTAGTTGGAAATATTCCAACCTGTAGAAATATTCCAACAAGGATTATTTCCGTGGGGTTAATTTGTTAAAAATATAAAAGATACCACCTTTCTATTAATTTGTAACAGCTAATTGACATCAGGGAAGATGAAAATTTACTAGCTGGATATCAACCAGATATTTGTATTATTGGCAGTTGAGACTGAAAAGTGAATAAAGGAGTCCACTTATTCCATTTAAATATCCTTTCACTTGGATCTCCCTGTTTCCTTACTGTCCTAATGAATAGAAATGATCGTTACAAGCTGGGCATGGTGGCTTGCACCTGTAGTCCCAGCTACTGGGGAGGCTGAGGAGAGAGGATGGTTTGAAGCTAGAGTTGAAGGATCCAGAGATAATTGTGCAGTGATGCTAAGCCTGGGCCACAGAGCGAGACCCTGTCTCAAAAAATTTTTTTAATTTATAAAAAGAGAAATGCTTGTCACAACCACAAAAGGATGTAAGATATACGCGTATAATTGTGGAAGTAAAAATAAATAATTTAAAAATACTTTCGGGTGCTCGCTTTGGCAGCACATATATTACAGTTGGAATGATAGAGAAGATTTGCATGGCCCCTGCGCAAGGATGACATGCAAATTCGTGAAGCAGTCCATATTGGAAAAAACAAAAAATACTTTCGGGCCTGGCACTGTGGCTCATGCCTGTAATTCAGACACTTTGGGAGGCCAAGGCAGGCGGATCGCTTGAACCCAGGAGTTGGAGACCAGCCTGGACAACATGGTGAAATCCCATCTCTACAAAAAAATACAAAAATTAACCAGGTGTGGTGGTGCACGCCTGTAATCCAAGGTACTTGAGAGGCTGAGGCAGGAGGATCCCTTGAGCTGGGAGGTTGAGCCTGGGTGACAGACCGTCTCAAAAAATTTAAAAATTAAAAAAAAAAAAATTCTGCAAGATGAAGTAACAATACCTAGAAAATACATGTGAATTGACCAAAAATTACTATAGGTAAAAATAAATTTAGCAAAGCTGCTTTCCTAAATACAACCCAAAATAAACTGGGAACAGCTACATACTGTAATGGTTCCATCTATGTGACATTCTAGAAAAGGCAGAACTATAGAGAGGGAAAACATCTGTGGTTGCCCAGGAGCTGGGGGTGGGAAGAGGGAATTTACTTCAAAGAGGCACGAAGAAACTTGCGGGCCAAAGCTGTTTGGGTCTCCGTTACGGTGATGTATATACGTTTGTCAGAGTTCACAGAACTGCACACTGAAGAAAGATGGATTTTACAGAATGTGAATTATATCTCAATAAACCTGACTTTAAAAAACAGATCGAAAAAAGATGATTCCATTCCCAAAAAAGGGGGGAAGATCATTATATAGGTGAGTGTTCATTTAAATCAGAGTAAGAGATTTATCCGTGAAAATCACAGTGGAGCGAACAAGGGGGATGCTGATACCGACCTCCTGGTTGGAAAGCCTGTAGAGCAACGCGGATGACTGTGGGACTGCGGGTCAGGCGGTGGGCGCCGGAGCGAGGGGCTGGAGCTGGGTGCGCGGGCGGAGCAAGCCTGCCAGCCTGGGCGGGGCCTCGGCGCTGGAGCTGGCTGCGGGAGCCCGCTGTATCGAGTCGCAGGCCGAGGAGACAGTGAGTGCGCGCCCTCGGCGCCCCGCCCCAGCCCCAAGGCAGGCCCCCAGCGCCTTCACTGGGCCCCCGCAAGGCGGGAACGCGAGCGCCTTCCCCGAGCTGTGTCTCGAGACCTTGGTCCTCCCCGCACCCCTCGGCCCGCTGCCTGCCCTTTACTGGCTCCCTCCCTCTTGCCCGTCCCTCAGCACCCTCTTCCTTTCAACTAACTTTCTCCCTCCCGACAGTGGCTGCCCCCCACGACGCTGAGATCCGGAAGGACGTGCAGGTAAGAGCTGTAGGGCCTGGAATGGCCCAAGTGGAGCCTAGGCTAATGGAAGTCTGGCCTGGCCCGCGCCCTGTCCTCCCGGACTCCTAGAGTCGGGGTAGGGCAGGATCTAGGCTTGGACCTTTGCAGGGAACTGAGGTCCGCCAAGTGGAGGTGGAGGTGGTGATGGAGCCCTCGCGCTGCAGTCACAGTTCTTTTTGTTCTTCCCTATTCCTCACTCCACTGTGGGACGCTGGGTCAGACCTACTACGGGCAGGTGCTGAAGAAATCGGCAGACCTCCAGACCAACGCCTGTGTCACCACAGCCAGGCCGGTCCCCAAGCACATCCGGGAAGCCTTGCAAAATGTACATGAAGAAGTAGCCCTAAGGTAGAGTGTCCTGTGCTGTCCCCAGGAAGACCCCAAACTGCAGTTTTCCCAAAAAATAATGATGCAGGTCACTAGGGAGTTAACCCGTAGCCACCAACCCATCAGCTTGCTTTGTCTATTGTAAAAATCCTAAATCTCAGCACCCATCATCTTACTGCTCTAAGAACCTCCGATGAATCTGGGTGCGCCGGTGAGCCTGTAGTCCCAAGTGCTTGGGAGGCTGAGGCAGAGGATCGCGTGAGTCCAGAAGTTACAGGCTGCAGTGTGTGATCCGGGATGTGAATAGCCACTGCACTCCAGCCTGGTCAACACAGTCAGATACATCTCTAAAATAAATGCATACTTTTAAAACATTGCCAAAAAAAAAAAAAAAAAAAAAAGAAAGAAAAAAAAAAAAAAGAAAAAAAAGAAGCAGCAGCTCCAATGTGAACACTCCATAGTCCCTACCCAAGCTCAGAGAATAGTCACACTCACTGGATCTGCCATTCAAGATATGCGCAGTTCGGCCCTCCCTAATCAACCTTGGCCCTTCTGAACCTTCCCTTCCTCACTCCATCAGCACTCCTGTCCAGCGGGCAGTCACCAATTTGGAAAGCCTTCTCTCTTCTTTCTCCTTCCAAACCCTGCCCATCCAGCACCACCCTGCTGTCCCACCTACTGCATGGAGCCTTCTCTAATCTTTGAGCGGCCTCTTCCCCAAACTGCCACAGCACTGTCACTCGGTCTGTCCGTAAATCATGGGAAGTGTTTTCTGTGTACAATGTTTTACCTCGCCTCTTAAATACACCTACGGGGCGGGAGGCTGTGGCTCACGTCTGTCATCCCAGCACTTTGGGAGGCCAAGGCAGGTAGATCACTTGAGGTCAGAAGTTCAAGACCGTTCTGGCCAACATAGTGAAACCCCGTCTCTACTAAAAATACAAAAATTAGCTGGGTGTGGTGGCGCACGCTTGTAGTCCCAGCTACTTGGGAGGCTGAGGGAGGAGAATCACTTGAACGCAGAAGGCGGAGGTCTCAGTGAGTGGAGGTTGTGCCACTGCACTCCAGCCTGGGCAGCAGAGCAAAACTCAGTCTCCAAAAAAAAAAAAAAAAAAAAAGATCGAGGGCGGAGGCGGTGTCTTACGTCTGTAATCCCAGCACTTTGGGAGTCCAAGGCGGGCAGATCACGGGGTCAGGAGATGGAGACCATCCTGGCTAAAATGGCGAAACTCCGTCTCTACTAAAAATACAAAAAATTGGCTTGGCGCGGTGGCAACCGCCTGTAATCCCAGCACTTTGGGAGGCCGAGACGGGCAGATCACGAGGTCAGGAGATTGAGACCATCCTGGCTAACACAGTGAAACCCCGTCTCTACTAAAAATACAAAAAAATTATCCGGGCGTGGCAGCATGCTCCTGTAGTCCCAGCTGCTGGGGAGGCTGAGGCAGGAGAATGGCGGAGCTTGCAGTGAGCTGAGATCGCACCACTGCACTCCAGCCTGGGCGACAGAGCAAGACTCCGTCTCAAAAAAAAAAAAAAAAAAAAAAAAATTAGCCGGGCATGGCGGCAGGCGCGCCAGTAGTCCCAGCTACTCGGGAGGCGGACCTTGCAGTGAGCTGAGATGGCGCCACTGCACTCCAGCCTGGCCGGCAGGGCGAAACTCCATCTCAAAAAAAAGAAAAGAAAAAGTAAAAAGTAAAAAAACCCAAAAAACAAAAAACAAACCTATGGGACAGAAACCTTACATTTTTTTCCTCAATAACTAGCAGTCCTGGGCCTGAATTAGAAGCTCAGCTAATGACTAAATGTATTTATTCAACACATTATTTTATTTTACTTATTTATTTTTTGAGACAGAGTCTCACTCTGTCTCTTAGGCTGGAGTGCGGTGGCACAATCTCGGCTCACTGCAACCTCCACCTCCTGGATTCAAGCCATTCTCCTGCCTCAGCCTCCCGAGGAGCTGGGATTACGGGTACCTGCTATCATGCCCAGCTGATGTTTTCGTATTTTTAGTAGAGACAGGGCTTCACTACGTTGGCCAGGCTGGTCTCCAACTCCTTGCGTCAAGCGATCCGCCCACCTCGACCTCCCAAAGTGCTGGGATTACAGGCGTGAGCCACTGCGCCCCGCCTGAACACGTTATTTTAGATGGCTTGGTAAAGCAGATACAGTCCCAGCCTTCATGGGTGTCCAGTTCAGTGGAGACTAAACATCAGAAGTATGAGTGAATGATGCAAGAAAGGAGGGAGGGAGGGAGGGAAGTGTGTATACCATTTAGTGGTTTCAATGTCTTCCAGTCTCCAGGAAAAAAATATGTGTTTTCCATTTCCCAGGTATTATGGCTGTGGTCTGGTGATCCCGGAGCATCTAGAAAACTGCTGGATTTTGGATCTGGGTAGTGGAGGTGGCAGAGATTGCTACGTACTTAGCCAGCTGGTTGGTGAAAAGGGACATGTGACTGGAATAGACATGACCAAAGGCCAGGTGAGGCAATGATTTGGAAGACAAAGAGGAAAAGATTCTCAAAAGCGTTCTTTGAGAAATAAAGTTTTTTTCTTCGTGGCTCTTCAAGGATAATTTAAGAAAGCCTCTAGTTAGCAATGCTCATTTGTGCCACTAGTGCTTCCTGTCTTGGAAACTGATAACTTAAAGAATTAAGGGCTCTTCTGGGCAAACACAAAAGTCGGTGGTTTGTTCTGATATGAATATTGTGATGACAGAGCGGACTTTGATCTTTCCCTTCTTGCTGCCATCTATCCTGAAAGATTTTGTTATTGAATGAGGTGTTTATTCAAGCCAAACTGCACAGGCAGCAGGGAGTTTATGTCCCAGGTTGTAGTACATCCTACGTGTCCACAGGAATCTTGTATATTTATCCAAAATAATCTAGGGGAAGTGCATTGTGTTAGTGACAGGAAATTTTTAGGAAAAAGTCGTGTATTTTTTTCAAAATGTTATCAAAACTATATTTTTCTTACTTTAGGTGGAAGTGGCTGAAAAGTATCTTGACTATCACATGGAAAAATATGGCTTCCAGGCATCTAATGTGACTTTTATTCATGGCTACATTGAGAAATTGGGAGAGGCTGGAATCAAGAATGAGAGCTATGATATTGTTGTGTAGGTCTATATTCTTACTATTATGACTATAGCCCATTTTCTTTATTATTATTATTAATTATTTTTTGAGATGGACTCTTGCTCTGTCACCCAGGCTGGAGTGCACTGGCCCAATCTCAGCTCACTGTAACCTCTGCCTCCCGGGTTCAACTGATTCTCGTGTCTCAGCCTCCCAAGTAGCTGGGATTACAGGCACACGCTACCACACCCAGCTAATTTTTTAAATCTTCTTTTAGTATAGACAGGGTTTCACCATGTTGGCCAGGCTGGTCTCAAACTCCTGACCTCAGGTGATCCACCTGCTTCAGCCTCCCAAAGTGCTGGGATTACAGGTGTTAGCCACTGCGCCCAGCACTCATTTCCTTTTGAACACACAGATGTCACTATTACTGTTTGCTGAATTGACTCTCATTTAGGGTGTTAGACTAAACTTAGCATGGCTTACTAATGGGAGAGAGCTGGTTTGAGCTGCTGGAACTCACCAGCAGCAGAACACACTAGACCAGGAGAGAACTTACTTGAAACTTAACCAAAAACCAATGAACCCAAAAGACCAGCAGCACCACTAAGTTGGCTCCTACAATACATGCTGACCTGCATCTTTCATTATATTCCATGGTAAATTATAGGATTCTATTTCCTTTTTTCCCTCAAGTTGTTATTGCCAAATCATGCCCAAGTGACAGCTGCCTTTGAGGAACGTAGCCTGTTTACATGGGGCATAAGAAATGCCTCGTGCCGGCCGGGCGTGGTGGCTCATGCCTGTAATCCCAGCACTTTGGGAGGCTGAGGCAGGTGGATCACGATGTCAGGAATTCGAGACCAGCTTGGCCAACATGGCGAAACCCCGTCTCTACTAAAAATACAAAAATTAGCTGGGTGTGGTGGCACATGCCTGTAATCCCAGCTATTTGGGAGGCTGAGGCAGGAGAATCACTTGAACCCAGGAGGCAGAGGTTGCAATGAGCCAAGATTGCGTCATTGCACTCCAGCCTGGGCAACAGGAATGAAACGTCATCTCAGGAAAAAAAAAAAAAGAAAGAAAGAAAGAAATGCCTTGTGTGGTAGGCATCTGGTCCGAGGGTTCATCTTGTTGCCTGATGAACATCAGGACAGAAACAAGTAAGAATCATGCCTGATATTTTTTTTCTGCACATTCAAACTTGCTAACAATTTATTGAGATTTTAAACACTCTGTCTCTGATCTTGGGGAAAAGCTTAGTTGAAGGCATTAGAAAGAGAAGAGGGAGGCAGTAAGAATGGGGTAGCTTTGACAGAAAGGTGGGAGCCACCTTTAGAGTCTGAAAGGATTTGCAGATCTCTGAGTATTGTGAAGATTTTCTCGACACTTCATCTGTTCTCTTTTAGATCAAACTGTGTTATTAACCTTGTGCCTGATAAACAACAAGTGCTTCAGGAGGCATATCGGGTGCTGAAGGTGAGGAGGAGAGTGAGAAAATTATCTTTGAACATCAGTGAGAGCTGATGGGTTCAGTCTTGTTTGTTCCCCCTTGAACTAAGAGCTCCAACTCTCTTAATTTATCCATTAAATGAAAAAGGGGTGGCAAAAGGGGGAAGGGGCAGGAATACCCCGGATATGGATTACTTTCCCTCTCAGGTTGCAAAAGGTAGTAAATGCGAGGTGACAGTTGTCACTGAATGTGTTAAGGTATTTGCTTTCTTGACTGTCTCTCCTATTTGCTGCTGTACATGATCGTAGAAGAGCATCTGTGGAGCTATAGGAACCTTTGCACTGACTGCTAATGATTGCTTTGAATACACTCTCTTCTAGCACGTACAGTGTTTCTCAGGGTTTCTGATTTCTTATCTGTCATGATTTCAGATCTTTGGGAAGTTACAGAAGATGAATTTTACATTAACTACTTTCTAAAAGGAAAGCTTGCAGGAGCTCCACAGCCTTCATTGTATCATGAGATGTGTATCTTCATGATAGAAGATGAAAGATTCAGCCAGGCGTGGTAGCTCACACTTATAATCCCAGCTCTGTGGGAGGCTGAGGCGGGCAGATCACCTGAGGTCAGGAGTTCAAGACCAGCCTGGCCAACATGGAGAAACCCTGTCTCTACTAAAAATGCAAAAATTAGCTGGGTGTGGTGGTGTGTACCTGTAATCCCAGCTCCTTGAGAGGCTGAGGTAGGAGAATCACTTGAACCCATGAGGCAGAGGTTGCAATGAGCCGGGATCTCACCACTGCACTCCAGCCTGGGAGACAGAGCGAGACTCCATCTCAAAAAAAAAAAAAAGATTTTAGCTGGGTGGGTGGTACATGCCTGTACTCCCAGCTACTTGGATGCTGAGGCAAGAGGATTGCTTGAGCTCTGGAGTTTGTGTCCAGCTTGGGCAATATAGCGAGACCCCTGCCTCTAAAAAAAAATTTTTTTTTTTTTTTGAGACGGAGTCTCACTCTGTTGCCCAGGCTGGAGTGCAGTGGCAGGATTTCAGCTCTCTGCAACCTCCGCCTCCTGGGTTCAAACAATTCTTCTGCCTCAGCCTCCCTAGTAGCTCGGACTACAGGCATGTGCCACCATGCCCAGCTAATTTTTGTACTTTTAGTAGAGACAAGGTTTCACCATATTGGCCAGGCTGGTCTCGAACTCCTGACCTCATGATCCACCTTGGTCATGAGTGCTGGGATTATAGGCATGAGCTGCTGCACCCAGCCAAAGAATCTTTTTAAATTAACAACATGGTTTTGAGATTTTTGGTTTACAAAGCTGTCATAGAACTTAAATACAAGTATCTGTATAGAAATGATTTAATGATTTAGTGATGTCTTTGTTAGTATGTCATTTTACATGCCAGTTCACTTATCTCCACCAAAAATGTACTTATAAAAGGTAGAAACACTATTGTAGAATATAGATCTCCAGGCCGGGCGCGGTGGCTCACGCCTGTAATCCCAGCACTTTGGGAGGCTGAGGCGGGAGGATCACGAGGTCAGGAGATCGAGACCATCCTGGCTAAGACGGTGAAACCCCGTCTCTACTAAAAATACAAGAAAATTAGCTGGGCGTGGTGGCGGGCGCCTGTAGTCCCAGCTACTTCAGAGGCTGAGGCAGGAGAATGGCGTGAACCCGGGAGGCGGAGCTTGCAGTGAGCCGAGATCGCGCCACTGCACTCCAGCCTGGGCGACTGAGCGAGAGACTCCGTCTCGAAAAAAAAAAAAAAAAGAATATAGATCTCCAGGTTTCCAGGTTTTTGAAATTAGCTAAATAAAATGTTAAGTTCCTGATCACTCATTTGCCTTACATTTTAAGGATAATATTTTAAAGATATAATGTGTTGTTATAAAAGTAAATAACAACATTACAAAAAGTTATATTTTTTAATAGAAATGGGGTCTTGCTGTCACCCAGGCTGGAGTGCAGTATCACTATCATAGCTCACTGTACCCTCTTACTCCTGGGCTCAAACAATCCTCTTGAGTAGCTGGGACTCCAGGCACATGCCCCCATGCCCGGCTAATTTTTAAATTTCTATATTGGAGAGATGGTCTTGCTGTGTTGCCAATGTTGCCAAGGCTAGTCTCAAACTGCTGTCCTCCAGCAATCTTCCCACTTCAGCCTCCTGAGTCACTGGGATTAGAGGCCTGAGCCATCATACCTGGCAAAGTTATACTATTCTTAAGAGATAAAATATTATGAATACTGATTATACCCTCTGTTAGTTCTACAATGACCTGGGGCTGCTTTTGGTTCAGATTGGCTAAAAATTTAAATTTAAGTAATCTGAAAATCTTTTTTTAGGAGACAGTCTTAGAATGTGATTTTATTACCTGTTGGATAAGCCACTGGGAGGAAAAAACCTTGGCACTTGACTATTGATTATAACTAAAGAGGCAGCTGTTATTTGTTCACAAAGCGTCAGCTTAAACATTGCTATTGGTTTTTAAATTTGATTTTGTTCCCCTATTCCTTCCTTTGTTATCTAGGATCAATGTAATCATTAATCTTGTTTGGACTAATATGGCTCTGTTTCAGCATGGTGGGGAGTTATATTTCAGTGACGTCTATACGAGCCTTGAACTGCCAGAAGAAATCAGGACACACAAAGTTTTATGGGGTAGGTGATTTTGTTTAGTTTGGTATTAAGGCAGATGGTTGTTCATGTGCAGAACTCCTTTCTGCTAATAGCCAGGATGAGGCTTTATGACATGAGATCAGGCTTTATGACATGGGGTTAGGCTATGAGGCCAAGGTTCCATTCTTCCTCTGCCATTCAAAAATGATAGGGCTTTGGATAGTTTAATTCATCTCTTTGAGTTATCATTTTCCAAATTGTAAAATGTAAATAATAATACAATCTGCCTTATAGGGCTGTTATGAAGATTAAATGGGATAAAGAATGGGAAAAATACTTTGAAAACTCCAGTTTGGAAATGAAGACAATTGTTCCCGAGCTAGTGCCCTCTTAGTCCCCTTATGTTCTCATCATTATTGTGTTCTTTATTCCTTTATTATCATTTTAATAGTCTCTGGAAGTTGAGATAAATGCATGCTTTTCATCAGTCTATGAAATTAAAAGTTCTTATTCTTAAAATAATATTAACTTTATTCTTACTATGTAATAATAAATAGGTACTGTTAATAAGTTGGAAAATGCAAAAAAAAGAAAAAAAGAAAAAATTACTAAGCTGGACACAGTGACACACACCTGTAACCCCAGATATTTGGGAGGCTGAGTCAGGAGGACTGCTTGAGCCTAGGAGTTCAGGTACAGCCTGGGTGTCATAGTAATACCCTATCTCTTTAAAAAAATTACTTATAATCATATAACCCAGTGATAACCTCTTTTTTTTTTTTTTTTTGAGATGGAGTCTCGCTCTGTCACCCAGGTTGGAGTGCAGGGGGCAATCTTGGCTCTCTGCAACCTCCACTTCCCGGGTTCAAGTGATTCTCCTGCCTCAGCCTCGCGAGTAGCTGGGATTACAGGTGCCTGCCACCATGCCCAGTTAATTTTTGTATTTTTAGTAGAGATGGGGTTTCACAGTGTTGGCCAGGCTGGTCTCCAACACCTGACCTTGTGATCTGCCCACCTCTGCCTCCCAAAGTGCTGGAATTACAGGTGTGAGCCACCATGCTTGACCTACAAATTATTTTTTATACTACTTTATTCACATAACATAGTGCTTTTCAGAATGTGGCCTACTGCATACATGAATATTATGCTTGCAGCTGGGTAGAACCAATCCACCAGTGAGTCTCCTGAAGAATGGTTCCCAGAGACTGTCAGGAGGACACCCAATTTTAACCATGGCTTTCTAGACCTTGGGGGGATGCTCAAGTTAGCTTCTACTGCTAGGATCTATGTTTTAACTGATACCATGTCATAATTAATTATATAGAATAATAATTCCCTTAATACTGTATTAAGTGTTGGTTGGTCTGTGGGTTTTTGTTGTTGTTGTTGTTTTGCTTTTTGTTTTTTAGGTGAGTGTCTGGGTGGTGCTTTGTACTGGAAGGAACTTGCCATCCTTGCTCAAAAAATTGGGTTCTGCCCTCCACGTTTGGTCACTGCCAATCTCATTACAATTCAAAACAAGGAACTGGAAAGAGTTATCGGTAAGATATGACAGACAGCAGGGACTATTATAACTACAGCTTGAATGATTGAAATGTGGTAATTAGTAAGTGACTTCTGAGGAGTCTCATTGAGGGATACTTTGTGTTATCTGGAAATAGCTATATTGTCTCCTGTATAATGGTAACCAACTCCCCCCCGCAATTTTGATATTTAATAAAGCACTTTGAAGTCATTCAGTAAATAGAGTGAAGTGCCCAGAAAGATAATTGATGACATGCAAAGAAGAAAGTCATCTTTATAATGTGTTTGCTCCTTGTCTGCTGAGCAAGGCAACAACTGAGGGAGTGCTGGAGATGAACCATGAATAAATTCTGTTTTTAGGTGACTGTCGTTTTGTTTCTGCAACATTTCGCCTCTTCAAATGCTCTAAGACAGGACCAACCAAGAGATGCCAAGTTATTTACAATGGAGGAATTACAGGACATGAAAAAGAACTAACGTTTGATGCCAATTTTACATTTAAGGTAAATAAAACAACTTCCATGACTGCTGGATTATTTCTGCTCTTGCCCTTGCTCCAGCTATCTTTTCTTGACTTTGCATTGCTTCCCACTTTTCTGGTGTTGGTTTGTTTGTGTGTGTGTTTAAATGTATGTGTGTGTTTCAAGTGGAGTAAAAAAGCATGTTTTTCCCGATATTTATTTATTGACAGGGTCTCACTCTGTCACCCAGGCTATTCACTGCAGCCTTAACCTCCTGGGCTCAAGCGATCCTCCCACCTCGGGCTCTTGAGTAGCTGGGACTACAGGCGCACCAACACACCCGGCTAATTTTTGTATTTTTTGTAGAGACAGGGTTTTGCCATGTTGCCCAGACTGGTCTTGAACTCCTGGGCTCAAGTGAACTGCCCACCTCGGCGTCTCAAAGTGCTGGGATTACAGGCGTGAACTACCGTGCCCAGCCCTCAATATTTATTATAAAAATGTTTTTGGCCAGGTGCGGTGGCTTACACCTATAATCCCAGCACTTTGGGAGGCTGAGGCGGGCCGATTACCTGAGGTCAGGAGTTTGAGACCAGCCTCACAAACATGGCAAAACCCCGTCTTTACTAAAAATACAAAAATTAGCCGGGCATGGTGGTGGGTGCCTGGAATCCCAACTACTTGGGAGGCTGAGGCAGGAGAATTGCTTGAACACGGGAGGCGGAGGTTGCAGTGAGCTGAGATCATGCCATTGCACTCCAGCCTGGGCAACAGAGCGAGACTCTGTCTCAAAAAAAAAAAAAGCTGTTGAATACAGAAAAGTTGATAGTACAATGAATACCCACATATGCATTACCTATATTTCAGCAATTGAGAACATTTTTCCATGTTTGTGTTTATGTGTGTATATATATATATTTATTTATTTGCTGAGCCATTGAAAATAAGTTGCAGATATTATGACATTTTACCCTTAAATATTTCAGCATGTGTCCCATAATCACAATACCATTAACCACCTAAGAAAACTTTTTACAGGAAACCTCATTCAGATATTGGATTAACAGAGTTATAGAGAAGTAGGATGGAAAAGAGTAGGAGTATGTACAATAGTATTTCAATTGTTTAATTTTGTCAAGGAATTAAGAAATTTTAATATTCAATGATGGCACTAATTGGCATTTTTATTGCCCTGTGCATAGTAAGATTTGTTTTCTCAAAATGGGAAAGTTCAGGCTTTGGAATCAGATACCTGGGTTCAAATTCTGGCTCTATTATTATTATTTTTTATTTTTTTCTGAATGTCACTAGACAATTACACTTTTATTGAAGCATAAATTGTGGTACAGAAATACATTTCAACTGATTTAAGTCCAACACCAGTGAAAGGAGAAATTATGGCACCAAAACTTTCCCTCTTGTATCATACCATGATTTAGATTATGATTCAATCTACATTTCTCTTTTCTAGGCTTTGTCCCATACAAATCTGCATAGTTTTTCAACATTAGAATTCTTAATTCTATTAGGAAAAAGAAAAAAACAAAACCAGACCTCAAGTCAACAAATCTATTGGGATATTGTTTACGAACAAAGTCTACCTTAAGCATTGGTCCTCAAAACAGAGCTCCTCAAAATATTAGTTGCTGTGCTCATTACAGAATCAAACTGATCATACTGATTGAAAACTTCCTCAATGACATTTTCAATCAACAACATGCTTCAAATAAAAGTCAAACAGTGTTCCAACCACTTGATTTCAAGCCAAGTAGATTTGAGGTTTAGAAACACTAAAAAAAGATGTTTCATTTATAAATATGGAAGGAACAAAAACATCACTGCACCAATCCAGAAATTATCAAAATATTTAGAGGACAAGAAATATAAAATTTAGTCAACTTTGCTGTTTTCTCAGTTCCTTAAAATCCCAAAGCATATGCAAATATAGCTAAAAGGTACCAACTCTTGAAAGCCTGTATTACTAGTCATTTCCCATTGAGTATTTTGGAATTTTATTAATGTTCTACTTATTTATTCATGTATTCTGCTTTATGATGTTTATCTGAATAATCTGGACAAATTCTCACTCTGGGCAGTCATTCATTTCATCCTATGAATGCCATGGTAAGCGAAACACCATAGTCAGAGGAACAGATGAAGTCAGAACACTCACATGCATCACAGTCATAGAACTTTAAGTCACAAGATGGATAAGACATTGATTCTGCTTTGGATCAAAGTTTATAGAACACTACTTAATGGAAACTAGTGACTGCTAAAGGAAAAGTTAAGGTGAATGATCCAAGCTGACTTGATTTACTGAATCCAGAACAAAATTATGCTAAATCTCTCTGGCAATTAACTAAATAAAGATCATTTTATATTACAACTTAGTAAGTTAGTAAAGGCATGCTACTCATTAGACACTAATCTCATTTACTGAGGAACACAGAATTGTATATGTTTTCTGGCTCTATTATTTATTACTTGGGTAAACTTGAAGAAGTCATCAAAATTCTTTGGGTTACAGTTTGTTCTACGGTAAAAGCAGGGATAATAATACTTGCTTTGCAGAATTTCTATAAAGATTAGCAATAATGTAGCAAAACACTGGGTACATATGGCAATTTCAGTGAAAAGAAGATACAGTCATTATTTATTCCAAAGGTGGAAGAACTTCCTATTAATATATTATTTTTCTGATTTATTTATTTATCTATTTTAGAGACAGGGTCTCTGTCACCCATGCTGGAGTATAGTGGTAAAGTCATAGCTCACTGTAACCTCAAACTCCCGGGCTCAAGTGATTCTCCCACCTCAGCCTCCCATGTAGCTGGGACTACAGGCATGTGTCAGCATGCCTGGCTAATTTTTTTATTTTTAATTTTTTATTGGTGAGACAGGTTCTTTTTTTTTTTTTTTTTTGAGATGGAGTCTTGCTGTGTCACTCAGGCTGGAGTGCAGTGGCCCAATCTCAGCTCATGTTTACGCCATTCTCCTGCCTCAGCCTCCTGAGTAGCTGGGACTACAGGTGCCCGCCACCACACCCAGCTAATTTTTTGTATTTTTTTAGTAGAGACGGGGTTTCACTGTGTTAGCCAGGGTGGTCTCCATCTCCTGACCTCGTGATCCGCCCGCCTCGGCCTCCCAAAGTGCTGGGATCACAGGTGTGAGCCACTGCGCCCGGCCGAGACAGGTTCTTATATTGCCCAGTCTGGTCTCGAACTCCTAGCCTCAAGCAATTCTCCCACCTCAGCCTCCCAAAGTTGCAAGCATGTGTTACTGTGCCCGGCTTCTTCTGATTTTTTGGTCTAAATAGCATCTCCAGATTTTTTTTTTAATTTAAAAAATGTATTTATTTCTTTATTTAGACACAGGGACTTGCTATGTTGCCCACACTGGGGTACAGTGGCTATTCACAGGTGTAAGCATAGCCCACTATAGTCCTGAACTCCTGGCCTCAAGGGATCCTTCCACCTCAGCCTTCCAAGTCTGGGACTACACCTGGCTAAGCATCTTCAAATTTATTTATTTATTTATTTATTTACTTATTTATTTATTTATTTGTTTGTTTATTTTTGAAATGGAGTCTTGCTCTGTCACCTAGGCTGGAGCGCAGTGAGTGACTCAATCTCAGCTCACTGCAACCTCTGCCTCCCGGGTTCATGCTGATTCTCCTGCCTTAGCCTCTTTTTTTTTTTTTTTTTTTTTTTGAGGCGGAGTCTTCACTCTGTCGCCCAGGCTGGAGTGCAGTGGCCCCATCTCGGCTCACTGCAAGCTCCGCCTCCCGGGTTCGCGCCATTCTCCTGCCTCAGCCTCCCGAGTAGCTGGGACTACAGGCGCCCGCCACCGCGCCCGGCTAATTTTTTTTTTTTGTATTTTAGTAGAGACGGGGTTTCACCGTGTTAGCCAGGATGGTCTCGATCTCCTGACCTCGTGATCCGCCCATCTCGGCCTCCCAAAGTGCAGGGATTACAGGCGTGAGCCACCGCGCCCGGCCTGCCTTAGCCTCTTGAGTAGCAGGGATTGCAGGCGTGTGCCACCACACCCTGCTAATTTTTGTATTTTTATTAGAGACAGGGTTTCACCATGTTGGTCAGGCTGGTCTTGAACTCCTGACCTCAGGTAATCCACCCGCCTCGGCCTCCCAAAGTGCTGGGATTACAGGCGTGAGCCACCATGCCCGGCCGCATCTTCAAATTTCTTAAATACTCCTTGGTATGGTGGAGCCCTAATGCTTTTCAATAATGCACTACTCCTTGATGTGCTGCCTATTCCAGTAGATTCATAGAATCAGAGTGGGAAGGGCCTTTGAAACCATTGATTTGTTCCAGTGGTTTTCAAAAACCATTTTTAATACAATTATTTTTTAAGCAAAATTTTATATATATATATATTTTTATATATATATATTTTTATATATTTTTATATATATATTTTTTGAGATGGAGTCTTGCTCTGTTGCCCAGGCTAGAGTGCAGTGGCGCAGTCTCGACTCACTGCAACCTCAGCTTCCCTGGTTCAAGTGATTTTCCTGCCTCAGCCTCTCCAGTAGCTGGGACTACAGGTGGGTGCCAACGAACCCAGCTAATTTTTGTATTTTTAGTAGAGACAGGGTTTCACCATGTTGGCCAGGCTGGTCTTAAACTCCTGACCTCAGGTGATCCGCCTGCCTCGGCCTCCCAAAGTACTAGGATTGTAGATGTGAGCCACTGTTCCCAGCCAGAAATGCACTTTAAAAACCACCAGTCCTGGCCGGGCGCGGTGGCTCAAGCCTGTAATCCCAGCACTTTGGGAGGCCGAGATGGGCGGATCACAAGGTCAGGAGATCGAGACCATCCTGGCTAACATGGTGAAACCCCGTCTCTACTAAAAATACAAAAAACTAGCCGGGCGAGGTGGCGGGCGCCTGTAGTCCCAGCTACTCCGGAGGCTGAGGCAGGAGAATGGCGTGAACCCGGGAGGCGGAGCTTGCAGTGAGCTGAGACCCGGCCACTGCACTCCAGCCTGGGCGACAGAGCGAGACGCCGTCTCAAAAAAAATAAAAAATAAAAAAAACCACCAGTCCTTGGCTGGCTGCGGTGGCTCACACCTGTAATCCCAGCACTTTGGGAGGCCGAGGCAGTTGGATTACCTTAGGTCAGGAGTTTGAGGCCAGCCTGACCAACATGGTGAAACCCCATTTCCACTAAAAATACAAAAATTAGCCAGCGTGGTGGCGCATGCCTGTAATCCCAGCTACTTGTGAGGCTGAGGCAGGAGAATCACTTTAACCTGGGAGGTGGAGGTTGCAGTGAGCCAAGATCGTGCCACTGCACTCTAGCTTGGGCAACAGAGCAAGACTCCATCTCAAAAACAAACAAACAAACAAAAAAACCCCAATAGTCCAAAGCCCTAAATTTTCCCCCCAGTATTTATTTTTTTAATGGACAAATTTTAAAAATTGTATACATATATTTATGGTGTACAATGGTATATTTTGACATACGTGTACATTATGGAATGACTAAATCGAGAAAATTAAAATGCATTACCTCACATATTCACCATTTATTTGTGATGAGACCACTTAAAGTATACTCTTTTAGCAATTTTCTTTTTTCTTTTCTTTCTTTCTCTTTTTTTTTTTTTTTTTTTTGAGGTGGAATCTTGCTCTGTCGCCCAGGCTGGAGTGCAGTGGCACAATCTCAGCTCACTGCAACCTCCACCTCCCAGGTTCAAGAGATTCTCCTGCCTCAGCCTTCCAAGTAGGTGGGATTACAGGCATGCACCACCACACCTGGCTATTTTTTTTTTTTTTTTTTTTTTTTTTAGTAGAGATGGGGTTTCACCATATTGTCCAGGTTGGTCTCGAACTCCTGACCTTGTGATCTGCCCGCCTCAGCCTCCCAAAGTGCTGGGATTACAGGTGTGAGCCACTGCGCTCTGCCCTTCCTTCCTTTCTTCTTCTTTCTTTCTCAGGGTCTCACTCTGTCACCTGGACTGGAATGCAGTGGCGCAATCATGGTTCATGGCAGCTTTGACCTCCTGGGCTCAGGCGATCCTCCTACCTCAGCATCTGAAGTAGCTGGGACTACAGGCTACCATGCCTGGCTGATTTTTGTATTTTCTGTAGAGACAGGCTTTCACCATGTTGCCCAGGCTGCCCTTGAACTCCTGGGCTCAAGCAATCCACCTGCCTTGGCCTCCCAAAGTGCTGAGATTACAGGCATGGGCCACCACACCTGGTCTTATTTGAAATCTTTCTACTTTTTTGATATAGGCATTTATTGCTATAAACTTTCCTCTTAGTGCTGCTTCTGCTGTATCCCATAGATTTTTGCATGTTGTATTTCCATTTTCATTTGTTTCAAGAAATTTTAAATGTTTCTCCTAATTTCTTCATGGACCCATTGGTTATTCAGTAGCATGTTGTTTAATTTCCATGTGTTTGTGTATTTTCCAAGGTTCTTGTTATTGATTTCTAATTTTATTCCATTGTGGTAAGAAAGATACTTGTTATGATGTCTACTTTTTTGAATTTGTTAAGACTTGTTTTGTGGCCTAAGATATAGTCTGTGCTGGAGGATGTTCTATGTGCTATTGAGCAGAATGTCTATTCTGCAGCAGTTGGGTGAAATGTTCTGTAAATGTCAGCTAGGCCTATTTGAGCTAGTATATAGTTTAATGTTTCTTTATTATTTTCTGCCTGGATGATCTGTCTTACTGAGAGTGAGGTGTGGTGTTAAAGTCCCCTACTACTATTGCATTACAGTATATTTCTTCTTTTAGATCTATTAATGTTTGCTTTATATACTTCGGAGTTCCAATGTTGGGTGCATAGATACTTATATCCTCTTGCTGAATTGACCCCTTTATCATTATATAGTGACCTTCTTTGCTTTTTTTGACAGCCTTGATTCATAGTTTATTTTATCTGATATAAGTATAGCCACTCCTGTTCTTTTTTGGTTTCCAGTTGCTTGGAATGTCTTTTTTCCACCCCTTCACTTTCAGTATTTTTATAAAGTAGGTTTATTGTAGGCAGCATATAATTGGGTCTGGTTTTTGTATGCATTCAGCCACTCTATTCCTTTTTTGGGGGTGGAGGTTCCCAAGTTTTATTCAAGAACTCATACAAAATATTCCAGATAAATAAATTTTTATATTCACCTTCCTCCTCTTCTTCGTCCAGGTTAATTTGGAAGTAACTTCATTCATAATAACTCTTTTTGCTGTTAGCAACTACCCACAACCAATCACATAGATTATTCTTCAAATATTTTTTGGTGAGATATTTCAAATACCTTTTGGAAAAGGTACCTCAGAAGTCACAGTGATCTTGCTCTTGTTCCTTTCGATGGTTATAATGCTCCACCAAGATTCCCAGCTTTTCCATTCACTTCGATCCTCTCTTGCAAAAACTGCTCAAAATTGGCAGCATCTATGATTCCATTTTCTACAAGGTGGGTGCAGTCAAGAGTGAACGTCAGAACCTGCTTCTTTTTTTGCCCCTCTTTGCCACGAGCTTTTTCACAGCACTATGCCTCTTAATTGGAGAATTGAGTCCATTTTCATTCAGTGTTATTATTGATACATAAAGACAACATTTTTTAAAAATTGATGCATAATTGATGTAGATTTTTGGGGGGTTCATATGATAATCTGATACATTAATATAATTGTAAAGATCAAATTAGTGTAATTGGGATAACTATCACCTTCAATATTTGTCTTTTCTTTCTTTCTTTTTTTTTTTTTTGAGACGGAGTTTCGCTCTTTTTGCCCAGGCTGGAGTGCAATGGTGCGATCTCGGCTCACCACAACCTCTGCCTCCCAGGCTCAAGCAATTCTCCTGCCTCAGTCTCCCGAGTAGCTGGGATTACAGGCATGTGCCACCATGCCCGGCTAATTTTGTATTTTTAGTAGAGACAGGGTTTTACCATGTTGGTCAGCCTGGTCTCGAACTCCTGACCTCAGGCGATCCATCTGCCTCAGCCTCCCAAAGTGCTGGGATTACAGGTGTGAGCCACCACACCTGGCCCTGTCTTTTCTTTATGTTAGAAACTTTCAAATTATTCTCTTCTAGCTATTTTGAAATATACAATATATTATTGTAAACTAGTCACTTTACTGATATATCAAACACTAGGTCTTATTTATTTCATCAAACCCTATATTTGTAACCATTAATCAACTTCTCTTTATCTCCCCCATTCTGTACTCTTTCTGGCCTTTGGTAGCTATTAGTATACTCTCTATCTTTTTTTTTTTTTTTTTTTTTTTTGAGACGGAGTCTCGCTCTGTCGCCCAGGCTGGAGTGCAGTGGCGCGATCTCGGCTCACTGCAAGCTCCGCCTCCCGGGTTCACGCCATTCTCCTGCCTCAGCCTCCCGAGTAGCTGGGACTACAGGCGCCCACAACTGCGCCCGGCTAATTTTTTGTATTTTTAGTAGAGACGGGGTTTCACCGTGGTCTCAATCTCCTGACCTTGTGATCCGCCCGCCTCGGCCTCCCAAAGTGCTGGGATTACAGGCGTGAGCCACCGTGCCCGGCAGTATACTCTCTATCTTAATGAGATCCACTTTTTTAGCTTCCACATATCAGTGAGAACATACGATATTTGTCTTTCTGTGTTTGCTTTATTTCTCTTAACCTAATGACCTGCAGTTCCATGCATGTTGCTGCAACTGACAGGATTTCCTTCTTTTTAAAAATCTGAATAGTATTCCATTGTGTATATACGCCACATTTTCCTCATCCATTCATCCACTGACGGATGCTTAGGTTGATTCCATATCTTGGTTATTGTGATTAATGCTGCAGTCAACAGTCAACGTTAGTTGTGCAGATATTAGGAGTGCAGATATTTCCTTGACATACTGATTTCATTTTCTTTTTCTTTTGAGATAGAGTCTCACTCTGTTGCCCAGGCTGGAAAGAAGTGGTGTGATCTCAGCTCACTATAACCTCCGCCTCCTGGGTTCAAGAGATTCTTCTGCCTCAGCCTCCTGAATAGCTTGGATTACAGGCACATGCCACCATACCCGGCTAATTTTTTAATATTTTTAGTAGAGACGGGGTTTCATCATATTGGCTAGGCTAGTCTCGAACTCCTGACCTCATGATCCACCCGCTTCAGCCTCCCAAAGTGCTGGGATTACAGGCATGAGCTACCGTGCCTGGCCAATTTCATTTTTTAAAGATATATACCCAGTAGGGGGATTGCTGGGTCATATAGTAGTTCTATTTTTAATTTTTTGAGGAATCTCCATACTCTTTTCCATAATGGCTGTACTAATTTAAATTCCCACCAACAGTGTGTAAGGATTAGTGCTGATGAGGATGTGGAGAAAACGGTACTTCTGGGCATTTTTCTTCTATTGAGACTAAAGTTGCAACTCTTAGTATATGTTTTTTTATACTACTGTTTAGGAAGGTGAAATTGTTGAAGTGGATGAAGAAACAGCAGCTATCTTGAAGAATTCACGATTTGCTCAAGATTTTCTGATCAGACCAATTGGAGAGAAGTTGCCAATATCTGGAGGCTGTTCTGCTTTAGAGTTAAAGGTTTGTCTGGCTTTCACTACCTCAGAGAACTATTTTATTTAATTTATTTATTTTTGAGACAGAGTCTCTCTCTTTCACCCAGGGTGGAGTGCAATGGTGCGATCTTAGTTCACTGCAACCTCCGCCTCCTGGGTTCAAGCAATTCTCCCTGCCTCAGCCTCCCGATTAGCTGGAATTACAGGCACCCACCACCACGCCCAGATAATTTTTGCATTTTTTAGTAGAGATGGGGTTTCGCCATGTTGGCCAGGCTGGTCTTGAATTCCTGACCTCAGGTGACCCACCTGCCTCAGTCTCCCAAAGTGCTGGGATTACAGGCGTCAGCCACTGTGCCCGGCCAGTATGCATACTCTCTTGAGGCACGCTTCCCTTACTGGTTAAATGTTAGAAGGTTATATACCAGTTAAACACTACCATTTTGCCTCTTAATGTGCATGCTTGAGCCCACTTGCCCAACTCCTGAGATCTTATTGGGAAGCTGCTGATCACCAGTTTCAGGTGTTTCTGTTTATTGAGAGACTTCCTTTCCCTGCTGCTGTCTGTGACCAACTGTGATTTTCGAGAGACAGTTAACAACCACCTGATCATCACTTAATGCTGGCCTGACATTCCTGGTGGAGTCGGTTGGGGGAGCCCTCTCCTGCCCTGCTCACGCCTGACTAGCTATTCTACCTACTTTAACAAGTTCTCCAAAATTCAGAAACCTTTCGTGAGTATTCTGATTTTATAATAATACAGTTATTTGCATAAGTTTAGTAAGAGTCTTTTCTTTCAAAACAGGACAGTGGAGACACTTGGTTATTTTACCAAGGCTTTGACTGGAATAACATTTTTAGGTAAAGTTCCAGCAAAGCCAACTTGAAAAGGGCCTATATGGCCAAATTCTTGCTGGACTTTATGCAAATGATCAGGCAAAGTATAATAAGCCTAAAATTTATTTAGCACACAAAGTGGCCTTACTATAATTTGTCTTTAGTATAAAAGGAGGAGCTGGGCACAGAAGTTCACACTCATAATCCCAGCACTTTGGAAGGCTGAGACAGGCAGATTGCTTGAGCCCAGGAGTTTGAGACCAGCCTGGGCAACATGTTGAAACCCCATCTCTACCAAAAATACAAAAAAATTAGCTGGGTATGGTGGTGCATGCCGGTAATCCCAGCTACTCAAAAGGCTGGAATGGGAGGATTGCTTGAGCTCAGGGAGGTGGAGGGCAAACCACTGCACTCCAGCCTGGGCAACAGAGTGAGACTCTGTCTCCAAAAAAAAAAAAAAAAAAAGGCTAGAGAGAGAAATGCTTTCAAAGGAAAACTATAATACTTGTTACTAGATTTCCAGCCTGGACTTTTGTTTTTGAATGCATATTGAATCATTAATTATTTATTGGCTACAATAACCCTCTAAAGATAAACCAGGTTATAATTTTTCTTCATGTTTTTAGTTTGTGCCCTAAATAGAATAGGTTCCTTTTTATGTTCTGATACACGAATACTCTTTTGACTGTCATATTATTAATGTTATTTATATCTCCTTCTTTTACTTCCAAGGAAACCAGAATCATGGTATTCTAAGGCTAGAGAATTCTCATTTGGAATTGCACTGGTCCTAATCTGCTTTTCACTGCAAATTCCTTGCTGCTAAAATTATATAAGCACCCTTCTCTAGGCCCAGGGACCTATCACAGAAGAGGTAGGTGTGTGAGACTCTTAGGGCCAGTTTTGAGAGGATTAGTTCAGACCCTCCAAATCAAAAATGGGCACACAGATGCCTAAACAGCTGGTAAAATAAGGGACTCTGCCTCCTGGGTTATTATGTGTGTGGCACCTTTTTCATCCATCCCAACCATAAAGAATTTCCTGCTTCTCGTAGAATGAAAAGAAAATTCTTACTGAGAGGATATAAAGGTACCTCATGTCAAAGCCTCCTAGGTTTAATACTCTGAGCTATGAGATTTATGCAGATAACATAAATATTTTTTAAAATTTTAGAAGAGGCCAGGCACAGTGGCTCACACCTGTAATCCTAGCACTTTGGGAGGCCAAGGTGTGCAGATTGCCTGAGCTCAGGAGTTTGAGACCAGCCTGGGCAACATGGTGAAACCCTATCTCTACTAAAATACAAAAAAAAAAATTAGCCAGGCATGATGGCATGCGCCTGTAGTCCCAGCTACTTGGGAGGCTGACGCAGGAGAATTGCTTGAGCCCAGGAGGCGGAGGTTGCAGTGAGACGAGATCGAGATCGTGCCACTGCACTCCAGCCTGGCAACAGAGCAAGACTCTGTCTCAAAATAAATAAATAAATAAATAAATAAATAAATAAATAAATAATTTTAGAACAAATTACTGAAAGACCACAAAAAACATTGTAGCACAACAGAAGTCTCTAAATTCCTTAGCTTAAAAGGTTTTAACAATGCTTATGTTTTGTATAGCTAAGTGCTGTACGTCTGTAACTAAAACCAAAATTACAGTAGTGCAACACATAGAAGTTAAAGATAAGTCAATTTTTTAACCTCACCTTTGGCTTTTTGTTTGTTGGCTTTTATATTAAGAAATTTTGGCCGGGCGCGGTGGCTCACGCCTGTAATCCCAGCACTTTGGGAGGCCGAGATGGGCGGATCACGAGGTCAGGAGATCGAGACCATCCTGGCTAACACGGTGAAACCCCGTCTCTACTAAAAAAAATACAAAAAACTAGCCAGGCAAGGTGGCAGGCGCCTGTAGTCCCAGCTACTCGGGAGGCTGAGGCAGGAGAATGGCGCGAACCCGGGAGGCAGAGCTTACAGTGAGCTGAGATCCCGCCACTGCACTCCAGCCTGGACGACAGAGCCAGACTCCATCTCAAAAAAAAAAAAAAAAAAAGAAATTTAAGGGTTTATGAACGCCTATCCACATCCATTCCCATCTGGCCTTGAACTTTCTTTTTTTGGGACAGGGGCTCGCTCTGTCACCTAGGCTGGGGTACAGTGGCGTGATCTCGTCTCACTGCAACCTCTCCCTCACAGGTTCAAGCGATTCTCCTGCCTCAGCCTCCTGAGTAGCTGTGATTACAGGCGTGCGCCACCATGCCCAGCTAATTGTTTTTCTTTTTTTTTTTTTCATGATGGAGTCTCGCTCTGTTGCCCAGGCTAGAGTGCAGTGGTGCGATCTTGGCTCACTGCAACCTCCGCCTCTTCAGTTCAAGCGATTCTTCTGCCTCAGCCTCTAGAGTAGATGTGACTACAGGTGCCTGCCACCACACACGGCTAATTTTTATTTTTTTTTTTAGTAGAGATGCGGTTTCACCAGGCCAGGCTGGTCTCGAACTCCTGACCTCGTGATCTGCCCACCTCAGCCTCCCAAAATGCTGGGATTACAGGCATGAGCCACCGTGCCTGGCCCTAATTTATATTTTTAGTAGAAACGGGGTTTCACCATGTTGGTCAGGTTGGTCTCAAACTCCTGACCTCAGGTGATCAACCTGTCTCAGCCTCCCAAAGTGCTGGGATTACAGGCGTGAACCACCATGCCTGGCCTGACCTAGAACTTTCAAATTTGCTATATGTCTTTTGGCTCTAAGCCCCTTGACCATAGGGGTCCCACCAAGGGACAGGATGGACCCAGGGAAGGCAGCCATGCCACCCCAGCAACACAATGAGATAAAATAAAAGTTTGGTGACCACTGATGTTGCCTCTGACAAATCTAGGCCAGAATGAGGAAAAAGTAAATCAAAAATAAAATTCTAAACCCCCAACCATCTGAATGGACCCCTCCTGTTGGCCAAAGGCATTCCAAAGTTAACCTGAAAAACTAGTTCAGGTCATGAAGGGAAAGAGAAGTTGGACATGCCTCATTATTCCCTCCTCCCTTTTGGAATTCAGACACTGCTGACCAGCATTATCTGAAGACTGATAGAACAGACTCTTTAAATCTGATAAGAAACATTTACAATCTATTCTCTCCAAAGCCTGCTACCTGGAGGCTTCATCTGCATGATAAAACCTTGGTCTCCACAACCTCTTATCATAACCTAGACACTCCCTTCTATTGATCCCAGGTCTCTGGATTATAACTCAACCAATTGCCAATCACAAAATCTTTGAATTTGCCTATGACCTGGAAGCCCCCACTTCCAGTTGTCCCACGTTTCTGGCCTGAACCAATGTACATATTATATGTATTGATCGATATCTTATATCTCTCTAAAATGTATAAAACCAAGTTATAGGGTGACCACTTTGGGCACATGTTTGCAGATCTCCTGAGGGCTGTGTCACAGGCCACTGGTCACTTATTTGGCTCAGAAAAAAACCTTTTCAAGTATTTTAGAGTTTGACTCTTTTTGTTGATAATATTTAACATCCTATAGTTATGACAGCCTAATCTGAATTTATACAGCTTAACTTCAATAACATACTAAAATTCTGCTCCTTTAAAACTTGTTCTCAACCGTTTTAGTTTTTTTTTTTTTAATTTTATTTTTATTTTTTATTTTAACAGAATTTTACTCTATCACCCAGGCTGGACTGCAGTGGCACAATCTTGGCTCACTGCAGCCTCCACTTCCTGGGTTCAAGTGATTCTCCTGCCCCAGCCTCACAAGTAGCTGGGATTACAGGTGCCAGCCACCATGCCTAGCTAATTTTTTGTATTTTTAGTAGAGGTGGGGTTTCACCATGTTGGCCAGCCTGGTCTCGAACTCCTGACATCAGATGATCCACCAGCTTTGGCCTCCCAAAGTACTGGGATTATAGGCATGAACTACCATGCCCAGGTCTTTCTAGTTCTTGATATCACAAAATTATGTCTTTATTCATTTTGTGCCCCCAAAACATAAAGTAGTAATTATTTTAAAGGCACTGGTCTCTTAAATCATGTGGAAAACAAAAAGTAGAGTTACAAACCATTGTTACAGTAATACTAACTTTGCCAGGCGTGGTGGCTCACGCCACCAGGTGATCCACCCACGTAGGTTGCCCAGCCTGGGGAACGAGAGTGCAACTCCATCTCAAAAAAACAAAAACAAATAAACAACAACAACAAAACAATACTAGCTTTTTTTTTTTTTTTTTTTTTGAGACAGAGCTTCGCTCTTGTTGCCCAGGCTGGAGTGCAATGGCACGATCTTTGCTCACTGCAACCTCCGCCTCCTGGGTTCAAGCGGTTCTCCTGCCTCAGCCTCCCAAGTAGCTGGGATTACAGGTGTGCACCATCATGCCCGGCTAATTTTTGTATTTTTCGTAGAGATGGGGTTTTACCATGTTGGTCAGGCTGGTCTCGAACTCCTGACCTCAGGCAATCCACCTGCCTTGGCCTCCCAAAGTGCTGGGATTACAAGCATGAGCCACTGTGCCCAGTCAATCTCAGCACTTTCGGAAGCTGAGGCTGGCAGACCACTTGAGGTCAGGGGGTCAAGAGCAGGCTGGCCAACATGCTGAAACTGTGTCTCTACTAAAAATACAAAAATTAGCTGGGCATGGTGGCAAATGCCATAATCCCAGTTACTTGGGAAGCTGAGGCAGGAGGATCGTTTTGAGCCTGGGATGTGGAGGTTGGAGTGAGCCGTGATTGCAATACTGCACCCCAGCCTGGGCAACAGAGCAAGACCCTGCCTCAAAAAAAAAAAAAAAAAAAAGCACAAAGCTTTTTGAGAAATCACTTTCAAAAACAGTACATTTGTAGTTGGGGAAGGTTAATTGAACCTAAAATATAAGAATCCTGGACCCCAAAATCTGGAGCCAGTATTACCAGCATGAATCTAACCCAAGCCCAGTATACAAGCCACCTAGAGCTGAAGAGTGATTTACTCTCTTTGCTTTATTAAATTATTCAGTACACTGCTGTTCTGACTCTTCTGTTGTTCGAAGAAGGTGATACTGTGGAAAGCAGAGAGATCTGGCTTTTGAGTATTCAATTCATTAAACATTTCAAAAATACGTCACTGATATTTTGACACTCCTGAGAGTTCATTGATAAGAAAACCTGCTGATGAGAATCAATATTTATTTTGAAAGGTTTTTATCATTCTAATTCTTCTAAAACCTGGTTTCCTAAATACTGGTTATAAAAGCTATCAGAAGGCCGGGCGCGGTGGCTCACGCTTACAATTCCAGCACTTTGGGAGGCCAAGGCGGGTGGATCACGAGGTCAGGAGATCGAGACCATTCTGGCTAACACGGTGAAACCCCATCTCTACTAAAAGTACAAAAAATTAGGTGGGTGTGGTGGCTGATGCCTGTAGTCCCAGCTACTCGGGAGACTGAGGCAGGAGAATGGCGTGAACCCAGGACGGGGAGCTTGCAGTGAGCCGAGATCACACCACTGCACTCCAGCGTGGGCAACAGAGTGAGACTCTGTCTCAAAAAAAAAAAAAAAAAAAAAAGCTATCAGAAGATAATGCTTACAAGTAAAGAGGGTCTTTCCTCGAGCTACAGCATTTTCAGTGTACTCTGGCTAATTTTTTTTGGTTTGTTTTTGAGACAGAGTCTTGCTCTGTCACCCAGGCTGAAGTGCAGTGGCACGATCTTGGCTCACTCCTCCGCCTCCTGGGTTCAAGCAATTCTCCTGCCTCAGCTTCCTGAGTAGCTGGGACTACAGGCACATGCCTCCACGCCCGGCTCATTTTTTGTATTTTAGTAGAGACGAGGTTCCACCATGTTGCCCAGGCCGGTCGCGTACTCCTGAGCTCAGGCAGTCCGCCCGCCTCGACCTCCCAAAGTGCTGGGATGACAGGTGTGAGCCACTGTGCCCAGCCACTCTGGCTATTTTTTTTAAAAAAAGGAATTAAATGAGTTTGCTTCTGCAGACGACCATTTTCTTTCAGTGTAGCTGCCCTTGTTCTCTCTCCCAGTGTGCATGCAACGCATGTACAGGAGGTTCTTGACCTTAGATATAAATTGTAAAATTCCAAATATTTGAACTGGTTTATCCCAACATAAGGTCTCCTTTCTGCTTTAATTTATTTCAGCCTGCAGATGTGCCAGTGTCTTTAGGTCAGTTTCAAGTTTTTGAAATGGGAATAAGTGACACTGAAGGAAGATTTTAATAAATGAAACAGCTGTGTGACCTAGGAATATAACCTTGTGCTCTTAGGGAAGGACATTCTTATCTTTTTTTTTTAAACGGAAGACCTTTATGATAAACGCTGGAGTACAGACAGTACATGCAGGTGGCATGCAGGGTCTTGCATGTACTTAACGTCTTGAAAGTCCTTCTGCATTTTCTTTTCTTCATCTTCTTTTCAATCCTGATATGCAAAGTGTATTTTGCCATTAAAACAATTAACACTATTAAAACACTGCAGCATCTGGCTGGGCGCAGTCGCTCCAGCCTCTAATCCCGCACTTTGGGAGGCTGAGGCGGGTGGATTACTTGAGGTCAGGAGTTCAAGAGCAGCCTGTCCAACATGGTGAAACCCCCTCTCTACTAAAAATACAAAAATTAGCTGGGTGTGGTGGTAGGTGCCTGTAGTCTCAGCTTTTCGGGAGGCTGAGGCAGGAGGATCACTTGAACCTGGGAGGCAGAGGTTGCAGTGAGCCAAGATCATGCCACCGCACTCCAGCCTTGGCAATAAAGGGAGACTCCCTCTCAAAAAAAAAAAAAAAGAAACAACAACAACAAAACACTGCAGCATCTGAAATGATGCTAACAGGATTAGGGCGATGGACTGTCTTAGTAGTAATGGTAGTAAAAGCATTAACAATCATAGCAGTAATATAGAGGAATTAACTTTTATTGAATAGTTAATATGTTTAAGGCACCCTGTCATTTAGTCCTCACAATAACCCTTATTATCTTCATTTGACAGATGGAGAGACTGAGGCTCCGAAAGATTCATTTACAAATCCAAAGTCATATAGCTAGAAAGTGGCGAATTTGTACCCACATCTGATTCTGGAGCTGACACTCTAAGCCAGTGTGCTGCTCTGTCTCTCCATAGCTAAACTTTTCATAGACTCACAGGATGTTGGTGCAGGAAAGGACTGCTTATCTGGGCACCCCACCTTTCATTTCCTTCAAGTCTTGAGATCTTTTTGAACTAGAAGCATGCATTTAGAAGTGATATTGATATCACCATCTCCTGTTGGTAGATAGATCATTGAGTGGGAAGAAGAGGGTTCAAGCGATTCTCCTGCCTCAGCCTCCCTAGTAGCCGCCATGCCCAACTAATTTTTGTATTTTCAGTAGAGACAGGGTTTCACCACGTTGGCCAGGCTGGTCTCGAACTCCTGACCTCAGGTGATCTGCTGCCTTGCCCTCCCAGAGTGCTGGGATTACTCCCAGAGTACATGAGCCACCACACCAGGCCAGGGCAAACCCTTTCAAGCAGGAGTTCCAGTATACTGAGAGGTGGAAATGCAGTCGATGTGAAGTCCTAGCAGTAGCAACCAGCAGAGCTGGCCTTCTTCCAGGCTTGGAGATCCCCTGCCAGAAGCTCATCTCACCATATGCAGGCAGACCTCTTCATTTTGGAAAGGAAGACACTGAGGGACAGAGAGACCAAGCCCAGCAGGAAGTCAGTCACTTTAGTAAAGGGAATGGTCCACTAGTCTATCAGTTTCATGAATGTAGAGTCTGTGCCTGCCTTGTACAACCCTCTATTTGCAGAGACCAACAATAAGTAGTAGGACTGTAAATTTATGTTATAATGAATTCATTACCATTATTTAAAGTGGCATGTTCATGCTTTTTTTTTTTTTTTTTTTTGAGATAGAGGCTAACTCTGTCACCTAGGTTGGAATGCAGTGGTGTGATCTCAGCTCACTGCAACCTCCACCTCCTAGGTTCGAGCGATTCTCTTGCCTGAGCCTCCTGAGTAGCTGAGAATACAGGCATGTGCCACCACACCCAGCAACTTTTTGTATTTTCAGTAGAGATGGGATTTTGCCGTATTGCCCAGGCTGGTCTCGAACTCCTGGCCTCAGGTGATCCACCTGCCTTGGCCTCCCAAAATGCTGGGATTACAGGCATAAGCCACTGTGCCCAGCCCCCATGCTCTTGATTTCCTATCTCTGTACCTGGCTTTTCTCTGACCCCACTGGTGCTATTGTTAGAAGTATCTCATTTGGAGGTGAAAGGAAGGAAAATAAATACAGCAGTCTTATCTTTTAAATAAATACAGCAGTCTTATCTCACTCTCCTCTGAGATCTGTCTGGCCATTGTTGGCAATTTCATCTGGGCATCAGCAATTGCTAGTGACAGCCCTACATCTGGGACTCACTTTCCTGTTTGGTATAAATGTTTCTGGAGATTAGAATAAGGGAAGAGAAGAAGTTTTAGCATTTCTGTATCTCAGTCCCAAAGAAGTTTAAAAGGCACATGCAAATGACAATCCCATAAAACAAAATCAACTGAGCAAAAATCAATGCTCTGCCCAATAGGGACCATCTTTAAGAAGCTTTAAGTGAAGTTTACCTTGAAAGTGGTAATAATTTCATTAGAAGCTTCAGGAAGCAAGTGCCTTTATGGCAGAATGACTGATGTTACTCCTAGGACCCCATGGAATTGTAAAATTTTATCTCTGTTCTGTGTAAGTCAACCTAAGTCAAACAGAAATATTAGTGTTTGGGTACATTAAAACATCTTTAACTTGTCCTTTCATTTTGGTTTGCCTTTTGACAGGATATAATCACAGATCCATTTAAGCTTGCAGAAGAGTCTGACAGTATGAAGTCCAGATGTGTCCCTGATGCTGCTGGAGGCTGCTGTGGCACAAAGAAAAGCTGCTAAATCTAGAGCCAACCAGGGGATCACAGTAGTGGGCAAGAGTGATTTGCATGTTTTTTAACCTGCTTTTCCACATAGCACAGACCATAAGAAACAACAAATGGGGCTGGACATGGTGGCTCATGCCTATAATCCCAGCACTTTGGGAGGCGGAGACAGGCAGATCACCTGAGGTCAGGAGTTTGATACCAGCCTGGCCAACATGGTAAAATCCTGTCTCTACTAAAAACACAAAAAAATTAGCTGGGCATGGTGGTGCACATCTATAGTCCCAGCTACTAAGGAGGCTGATGCAGGAGAATTGCTTGAACCCAGGAAGTGGAGGCTGCAGTGAGTCAACATTGTGCCACTATACTCCAGCCTGGGCAACAGAGCAAGACTCTGTCTCAAAAGAAAAAAAAAAGAAAAAAAAAACAACAAATGGCAGAGAGCCACCATATTCCAAATCACTGAAAAAAATAAATGAATTATTTTCACGAGGCATTGATTAAAGATTCACAGCAAATCATATGAAGACTTGTTAAGCAGACTTTTTTCTATTTCCTAATTCAAAGTTCTGGTGCCACGTAGTGGTCAGAAATGGAACAGAGAAGCTGTCTTAAGGCTTGTTTAAGAAGCAGGAAAGGCATCAGAAGAAGTAACAGTTGGCAGAGGGGCTCAGGAAAAATATCTTCCTTCTGATCTTTTGCATAGCACCCTTTGGACTTTTCATCATGTTTGCTTATTAAACAAAGCTCCTACTGCCATCATACTAATCATGCCAAAGATTGCCAAATCATGTTTGGTAGGAGAACTTTTGAGGTAGCTTTTAAGCAAATGCTTTTTTTTTTTTCTTTTTCCTTTTTTTGCAATAGAATTAAGAAAACAAATTAATCATAAACATCTTTGAATCAAGTATCTCAAGAAAACAAATGAATAATAAATATCTCACCCTAATGACTGATGACATAGTGATTATCTGTTATAAATTATCCTAACTGGATCAGGAATAGAGTTCGATTGTTTTTTAAAAAGAGAGCTAAGAGATGTAAAAATGACCAGGCATGGTGGTGTGTACCTGTAGTCCCAGCTACTGGGGAGGCTGAAGCAAGAGGATCGCTTGAGCCCAGGATTTCCAGGCTGCAGTGAGCTATGATCGCACCACTGCACTCCAGCTGGGTGACAGAGCAAGACCCTGTCTCTAAAAAACAAATAAATAGGCTGGGTGTGGTGGCTCACTCCTGTAATCCCAGCACTTTGGGAGGTCAAGGCGGGTGGATCACTTGAGGTCAGGAGTTTGAGACCAGCCTGACCAACATGGTGAGACCCCATCTCTACTAAAAATTCAAAACTTACTGGGTGTGGTGGCATGTGCCTGTAATCCCAGCTACTCCAGAGGCCAAGGCACGAGAATTGCTTGAACCTGGGAGGTGGAGGTTGTAGTGAGCCAAGATCGCGCCACCGCACTCCAGCCTGAGTGACAGAGTGAGACTCTGTCAAAGAAAGAGAGAGAGAGGAAGGGGAGGGGAGGGGAGGGGAGGGGAGGGGAGGGAAGAAAGAGATGTAAACATGGTAAGTTTTCTTTTTCTTTATAAGGTGTCCTGGTTAAACTTTTAGCAAAATGATAGATCTAGTTTTTCCATAGTTAAAGAATATTAAGAACATTAAAGAAAGGTTCAAGGATGGTAAATAACTTGAATTCCAGCTGTACTTGAAGACTTTATTGGAGGACACAGAGAGGTATAAGTCATGGTCATTATCATCAGGAGCTGGATAATTCAGTTTTTAAATAACAGCTTTCAGGCCGGGTGTGGTGGCTCACACCTGTAATCCCAGCACTTTGGGTGGCTGAAGTGGGTGGATTGCTTGAGCTCAGGAGTTCGAGACCAGCCTGGGCAACATGGTGAAACCCTGTCTCTACTAAAAATTCAAAAAATTAGTTCGGCGTGGTGGTGCGTGCCTGCAATCCCAGCTACTTGAGGCTGAGGCACGAGAATTGCTTGAATCCAGTGGGTGGATGTTGCAGTGACCTGAGATTGCGCCACTGCACTCCAGGCTGGGCAACAGGGCGAGACTCTGTCTCAAAAACAAAAAATAAAAATAAATAAACAAACAGCCTTCAACCAATCAAGGGTTTTGATGTCAAACAGTTGCCCTGGGCTCAGTACAAAAAGAACCAGGGGCATGGCATGGTCCAGGGGATTTTGAACTAGGGGTTTGAGAATTTTAAGGCATGTAAAACATTGGAATGGATGCCATAGGATAGACATCTGTTTTAAGAAAGCTGTTTAATATGGAGAAATTCTCAGATTTTTGAGTAGGTTCAGCTATAGAGCCTAACTTACTATTACAGACAGAGGAAAGAACTAGGTAGTATCTTTTTAAGTCCTATTCACCTCCATGATCTTGATTTTAAACATGCTTGCTTGGTTCTAGAGCGCCGTGTCTATCTAGTCATAACCTACTTTAATGTGAAAATGGTACATTACAGCATTAGCTACAATGGTACAGCTAGAATAAGCATACTTTGCTCTTCATGAGCACAAGATGGCCCTGCTTGGGGGGAACTGATTGAAGGGTGTTTTGTTGACTGGGTGTGGTGGTTCATGCCTATAATCCCAGCACTTTGGGAGGCTGAGGTGAGTGGATCACTTGAGGCCAGGAGTTCAAGACCAGCCTGGCTAATATGGCAAAACCCTGTCTCTACTAAAAATACAAAAATTAGTCAGGCATGGTGGCCAATGCCTATAATCTCAGCTACTTAGGTGGCTGAGGCACAAGACTCGCTTGAACCTGGGAAGTGGAGGTTGCAGTGAGCCGAGATCCCACCACTGCACTCCAACCTGGGTGGCAGAGCGAGACTCTGTCTCAGAAAAAAAAAAAAAGGGAGGTGTTTTGTTTATTTGGTTTATTAGGCTTTTTTGCATTTACAAGGAGAGGGTATTAGCTTTTTACTTGTCATTCTGAACTCTCAGTTCCCCAAAAAGATGTTGAGTAATGGGATTGGGCTGGGCAACTTAGCAAGACCCCATCTCTAAAAAATAAAATTTTTATTTTTTATTTTTTTCAAGACGGAGTCTTGCTCTGTTGCCCAGGCTGTAGTGCAGTGGCATGATCTTGGCTCACTGCAACCTCGACCTCCCAGGTTCAAGTGATTCTCTTGCCTCAGTCTCCCGAGTAGCTGAGATTACAGGCGTGTGCCACCACACCCTGCTAATTTTTGTAATTTTAGTAGAGACGAGGTTTCACCATGTCAGCCAGGGTGGTCTCAAACTCCTGACCTCATGATCCACATGCCTTGGCCTCCCAAAGTTCTGGGATTACAGGTGTGAGCCACTGCGCCCAGCCTAAAAAATAAAAAAAATAAAATAAAAAAAAAAGAATCATGGAAGCCTGCAGAAACTTTTCAGCTTACCAACTCAGGGAGTCCCAGCAGTAGCCTCAACAGGCCCCCACCCCCACATCCAGTCATGCATAGCTGAAAAGGGCATGGCTTTGTGCCAAGACAGACCCAGAGCCTGCTTCTCCTATTTATTCTTGGCCTTTACTTGGATGGCTCCAGGGAAGCAGCTGAGGTAGTCACTCATTCTGCCATGTTAAGATGGGAATTATATTAAATGAGTCTGGCAAGGCATGGGAACTGTCTATCCTTTCTTTCATTCATTCGCTAAATAGTAATTATCTCCTGTGTACCAGGAACTGTTCTAGGCACTGTTTGCTAAAATGGAATATTATGAACCCCATGGACCAAGAGGACAAAAACTGCTGAGTGTATTTTTTAAACTTTGTTGGTACCTGTCCTGACTTCTGTGATTTGCCAATTTTCTTCAACCACGCACCACAGTTTGGGTCCAAACAAAGGTTCTTTTGTCTGAGAGTCAGTAGAGGGAGATCTCATTAGGGTAAAAATGAACTCTTTTTGAGGGTACAGTGAACTATGATCATGCTACTGCACTCCAGCCTGGGTGACAGAGCAAGACCTTGTCTCTCAAAAAAAAAAAAAAAAAAAAAAAAATTCTTTTGCAAATTAGAAGCTGGAATTATACAATCCTAACAATAACTTATGATGAGCTTTACTGTTTCATTCCAGTTTCTGTTCAGCTGCTGACCCTGCAATTCCTGAAAGCACAGCTCCCACTGAGGTTAACGCGAGTGTTATGTGAATGTAAGTTTTGTATTTAATTTCCTCCTGCTGAGTGAGCCTTGCTTGTCTTGGACTCACAATTGTAACAATTCCCTTCCGCAATGGGAACATGGTGGCCCCACCTTCCATGTGGCAGGGCCATGCTGCAGTGCAATGCTCCAGGTGAGGGGAAAGATCAATTTAGAACCAAAATATTCTGCCCTAATACTACTTCACTGCCTCATATAGTAACACAATGCCTCATAATACATTGTCCAGAAGCCAGAGAGAGTAAAAATGTAGACTGGCCAGTCAATGATGTTCTAAGTACAGTGTAATCCAGACCTGGGTCTGATAACTTTTTTTTTTTTTTTTTAAATAAATGGGGTCTTGCTATCTTATCCAGGCCAGACTTGAACTTCTGGGCTCAAGTGATCCCCCCATCTCAGCTTCCCAGGTAACTGGGACTGCAGGTACATGCCAGTGAGCTCCTCATCTCTAACTTTTAAACTATGCCTAAAGCCACTAACTTTTTTCTCATTGGTGGAGTGAAAAGTGATGCAGGAGACAGCAAGTAAGTATTCTTTTAGATCTGGCTCTGCCACTGAACTAGTTATTTGGCCATAGGAACATCATTTGTCCACTTTGGGATTCACTTTCCCCATCTGTCAAGTGAAGGCACTGAACTTGGAAGACTCTCAAGTTCCCTTCCAGATGGAGAAACAGATTTATGGGTCTGGATTCTGTAGAGGTCATAGTGTTTTTTCCAATTTTTTACAATCAGTTGCCCACATTTATAAATCAGAAAATTCTGTATAAAATATGAATTTGGGCTGGGCACGATGGCTCACGCCTGTAATCCCAGCACTTTGGGAAGCCAAGGAGGGCAGATCAGGAGTTCAAAACCAGCCTGGCCAACATGGTGAAACCCTGTCTCTACTAAAGATATAAAAATTAGCCACGTTTGGTGCCTGTAGTCCCAGCTACTTGGGAGGCCGAGGCAGGAGAATCACTTGAACCTGGGAGGCGGAGGTTGCAGTGAGTTGAGATCACGCCACTGCACTCCCAGCCTGGGTGACAGAGTAAGACTCTGTCTCAAAATAATAATAATAATAAAAAATATATATTTCATATATATCATATATAATATATATTTCATATAGATATATATGATATATATTTCATATATATCATGTATATTTCATATATATGATATATATTTCATATATATGATGTATATTTCATATGATATATCATATATATCACATATATATGAATTTGGGGCTTCTTGAAAAATCGAAAATGCTGGCAATAGCAGCCCTACATTTCTGCATAGTTGTGACGGGCATAGCTGAGTAATGGGTTCCCCTTCAGACAGGGCATGTCCCTTTAGACAGTTTGCCACCATCCCCACCTCAAGTCAACTTCACTCACCCCTGTAGGCCTTTGAGTTTGTGGTCCTTTTTTAAGGATTAGAACTAGTACAGTTTCATCAATGTTACAAGTGAGGTTTTTTCCCATCATAGCTCAGATGATGGAAGTCAGTGGCACTAACATATATTTAATTCATTACAAGCAGTAACCAAGAAGGGCACATGGAGCTTTGCAGGGATGCTCACAGGAGGACACCAGAGAGTGCTAGAGCTGCTTATGGTAATGTGACCTACAACTCAGAGCCTAATTGTGTCAGGTGAAGTGGCCTGGACAGCTTACTCTCTGTTCTCAGAGTTAACAAGCTCCCATCACATAACTTTCTTTGTGAATATTAAATGAGCCTACCCTGGAAAGCAAATGTCAAGTTGCTAGGGAGGAGAGGTTTGCACAGCAAGTGCAGAATGATT